TCACGCACCAAGTGTTTCCTCTATCTACTTCTATCTACTCTTCTATATTTATGTTATAGAATTATACAGTGTGTAATGACTACAACTATGACGTGACTGTGTTTGCAGAGAACTGAATTCATATCCGCGTCCTAAATGGCTTACTATGGTATGAAATCTAATTAGCAGCAAAACAGCTGCTTTGAAAAATGTAGATCAGCAGACGTGGGTGGGAGTGAAGTCATTTTTTTTCCTCCATTTTAATTTTGGAACATATTTCTGGGTATTTTGTTTTTCTGATTTTCTTCACCAAAATAAAAATTCAGAACTTATGCCATCAAAAAACTCCTTTTTACTCCTGTGATTCCAGATGGACGCACACAAAATAAGGGATTGTTCATTTCATGATATTTTTTTTACTGTGCTGGTTAGTCCAAATAAATGCCAGAAATAAGTCCAACATACTGTTCAGATATTTCTCTCCCTGCACTAATATTCCCTTTGACCAACAGCTTAATAAAAACGTGCAGTAAAGTGCAGTTCATAATCTACTTAAACTTTTAAGTCTGTTATGATCTAATGGCATTAGGAAAGCCAGTCTCTTCTATTATCTTATGATATATTATTTTGAGGCAATTAATATTTGTAGGCTACTAGACAGCGTTAAGATGCCAACCTCTTTTATATATTGATATAGTCTGGTTTCATTTTAGGCAGGTGTAACCTTCTGCAGTCCCGTCCTAATTCTCCTTATCCTTGTTTTGGGCTGATATGTGGGCGTATGTACGGTGTAACATTATATTAATGTTCTTTTTCAATTAGGACTTAGTATTCCACAAAAGTAATGTAAAGTGTGTAATGAATGAATATCTACAGGGAGTAATTAAGTAATGCATTACTCTTTTTGAGTAGTGACACCAACAGTAAAGTCTCTTTCCAGATATAATGGTCCAGTTACTCAAGATAATCCACAGACCTTGAAGACAAAGCAGTATCACCGAAAAAATGTACAAAATGCATAATAAAATGTCTCCTTCAAAAACAATCCAAGGCACACTGTGGGGTTTGTGCAAAAAATGAAATGCCTTTATTTTACATGGTAATATAGATTAAAAAGACTGATGCGTTGTGACTCACAGGTCTTCATCAGGGTCATTGTTTTCTATAGCTTGTAGCTAAAGCAGACAATTTTACTTTATTTAACCTTTATTTAATCAGGAAGTCCCATTGAGATTGAAAATCTCTTTTACACGAGACTGGCTGAGGTAGCAGCCAATCAATACAAATTTAAAATGCAACAATTACAACATATATAATACAAAAATCCACAATGAAAAAACAACTATTCAAACATAGTGGCCTCTCAAGAAAAGGAAGCACATGTCTCTGTCACCACATTCTGTATGATGCCCTTAAATTCATCAATGGATAGAAGTGTCTTTAGATGTTTTTGGAGATTGTTCCATGTCCATGATGCAGAGGAGGAGAATGCAGTTTTCCCCAGATCTGTTATAACCCAGGCTACATTAAACAGCAACCACCTGGAGGAGCGTAGCTGGTAACTACCAGATCTGTCACACAGAAGGGAGCAGAGGTAGGCCGGATGTTTGCCCAATATTGCTTTATAGATAAACATATACCAGTGCTGTTGTCTGCAAGTGGTCAGTGACGTCCAACCCACCAAATCATAAAGGATGCAGTAAGGGACTTTGTGTTTGTATTAAAACATAGAGATGCATGGAATACTGAATCAAGGCTACGTAAAATGGAGGAGGTTACATGCATCTCCAATATGTCACCGTAATCGATCACAAACAAAAAAGTAGCTTCCACAAGTTAGTTACAAGTTACAATGACCCTCATGAAGACCATGACGATGGAATCCACAGACCTTGTTGTGAGTGGTTTAATGCAGGAACTATTTTCTTTCTACCAAAATTCACCTGTCAACCTTTGAGCACCACAATCTGAGTGCCATGTAGTTTCATTACATTCGAGAAAAGGCAGACATCTTTGCAGCCAGTATCTCCAACACTCAGCAACTGACACCAGAACAATCTAGACTGATAAATAGCCCAAAAGATAAGATGAAAAATATTTTTTTGGTGGACTGTCCCTTTAAGTGTGCCACGAGAGCCAGCATACACAACAGCAGAGCCCCGGGACCAGCACACCTGAATATAATTCACTCAGTTATGTTCTTAATTACACCTGTGTTAGACGAGTTAAAGTGTTGGTTAGACGCACTGAGAGCGAGAACATCTTACTACTGCAGCATCAGTGTGACCTTAAAGGCCCCACTGTGTGTGCTGTCATTTCCTTTGCCTCTCCTCGGGACTGTGTGTAGTTGTACATAAACTGAGCTTTACTCACATCTGCCTCACTTTCCTGTAAGAACTTGTTAAAGTGGGACACTTGAACATTTTCCTCACGGGCTTCTATTCACAGCAGGCATTTTGACTTAGCAGGAAAAGCACAGGTGTTACTAATCACATTAACGATGGCTCTGTCCTATCCAAGTGTCCCAGTAAGCCATGACGGTGTGACAGTGAGCCAGCATGCACAATACCAGCATGCTGAAACTGAAGGCAATAGTAGAGAGAGGTAACTAAGTACATTTACTCCAAGGGGAAGATAAAATACCAATGTTAAGTTCAAGTACTGCCGGTCCTTTCCTGTTTCCACACACTTTATTACAGGAGTAAACTCTGTGTATTAGTGATCATCCCCTGCTGTAACAGTCGGCACAGATGAGGCTGGTTGCATAAGAGCGCCCTCTAGCTGTGGATATGGAGAACTCCTGTAAAGATATTTCACTCTGGATGTGTAACTCACACTCAAATATGTCTGCAGCCCTGTCTACTAAACACGCAGTAACAGAGGTAGAAGACGTATTTAGATCTTTTTAGCATTTCAACACGGTTAAAAACTCCATTACAAGTAAATTTCCTCCATTCAAAATCATGCCTGAATGAAGTATTATTAACAAAACGTATTTTAAGTGTCAAAAAAGTGCATGTTATGCAGCTTTGACCCTTTTAGTGTTATATACATGTAGATAAGGCTATAATAGTATTATTTATCACGGGTTATTGTTGTGTTGGATAAGCTGGAGGCCATTTTAACTATTTTCTGTAAACATATGAAACAAACCTGTCAGTGCTGTGAAAATATCTCAAGATGTTTTTAATAAAATTAACTTATTTACAAATAAAAACACAAAATTAATATATCTATATCCTGACACAAGAAACTAGCACTAGAATTATGAAAAATCTAACTTTTAATTTAGAAAATGTGCATTTAATATAGGATGGATAGAATTTTTTTTTACTAAACAATGCAGAAGCTGATAATAAAATTTGTATGAAATGTAACCTCCAAAGCAATCTGGAAATCCATCGGTAAAAAAAAAAATTTAAAAAAAAATCTTCCTTTACATCTACAATGTAGATTGCAGAATCTGTCTTGAGAGATTACCTCCAAAGTAACTATAGCTCTCAAATGAATGTAGTGCAGTAAGAAGTACAATATTTACCTACAGGATATATTGAACTACATAAACTGGGTACTTCTGCTTTATTGTATTTCATACTTCTACACTACATTCTACTTTTTTAGTTAAAAAAAATTATTTAAAAAAATATAATGATAAAATGAATTAATTAATTAGTAGGGCTATGATTTTCAACTTAAATCAGCTTCATAAAATAAATTGAATAATATCTGTATCCTAAAAAATAAGGCAGATTTGATTTACATTATTATCATTATTGATTTACATATATTTTTATTATTCAAAAAAATTAAATAAATTAAAAACATCTCAAATTAATTAATTAGTATGCCTATTATTTTAATCTTAGATCAGCTTTGTAAAATAAATTAAAAAATATCTTTATCCTAAAAAACAAGGTAGATTCAATTTGCATTATTATTATTATTATGATTGATTTGAATTATATATTTTATTATTATTTAAAAATCAAATAAATAAAACAAAAGATAAAATTGATTAATTAATTAGTAGGCCTGTTATTTCTAGTTTAAATCAGCTTCATGAAATAAATTAAATAATATATGTGTCCTAAAAAATAAGGCAGATTTGATTTACATTATTATTATCATTACTGCTTTGCATTTTAATTATTTAAAAAAAATAGATAAATTAAAAAAATATCAAATTAATTAATTGATTAGTAGGCCTATTATTTTAAGCTTAAATCAGCTTCATAAAATAAATTAAATAATATCTTTGTCCTAAAAAATAAAGTAGATTTGATTTTTATTTTTATTATTATTTTTATTGATTTGCATTATATATATGTACTGCAAATCAATAATTTTCTATAATCTATTTTTTCAATTCTAAAACATTCTATTGTTTAGGATACAGATTTTATATAATTTCATTTATGAAGCTGCTTTAAGTTTAAAATAACAGGCATACTGCACTGTGACATAAGGTTTTTAGAAGTCTAAATGTCTTAATAACTTCAAATTAATCTGCCCAGCATTAGAAAGTAGTTAGGTTTAGCCATGCCACAACAAACTACTCACACACTGATGCATCAGTGATCATAATCCTTTAATATAAATGCAGGACTTTCCTTTGTATATGCAGTATTTTACACTGTTATATTTCCTATTTCCACTTCACTAAATGAGTTCTTCATTATTTCCTACCACTGCTGTCACAGTTGACATAATGCAGGAGTGACAGAGGAGTCACTCCTAGTTGTTTTGGGTGTGTGTCTGCAGGTTGAAGCCTCCCTGCTCCAGTGTTGCACATCTCTACTGCAGACACACTCTTTGCTCCTGCGTCCACAGATGAGTGTTTCCTTCCCTTCGTCAGACCCACGGGTTCGTGTCAGGTCACGTCTCGAGTGCTATAGTACCCGTGACTGCCGCGGCGAATGCGGCCCAAAAGGACCATTGTCATATTTCTTTCCCCCAAATCTCCGCAAGACCCCACAATCAAAACAAATCGACCACGCGTGCTTTTCCCGCAGCAATGACGTCACGTAGACCCTCCCCCTTCCCCGCAAGTAAACAGAAAACACGGAGGAAATCGTCCATGTCAGCCGCCATACGAGTATCTAGTGTGTGGGAGAAGCTGTGAGAGGCGACGGCGGCCGTTAACGCAGCGTTTCCCGTGTGTTTAACTCGAACTTGGGGGATTTGGGGCCAGCTGACTCGCGCTGGAGCGATGAAGGGAGAGGCGGAAGTGAAGTCACTTGACAGACCGTCCATGTTATTATTGTTATTTTGGTAGCCCTGTGATGAGACGGGCTGGGGAGCCGTTGGTCTCCGAAACAACGACCGTTAACGCTACCGCAGGCCGCCCCGGACCGACACCACCCTCATTACCACCACCACCGCCGCCACCTCCTCCTCACTGACCCGGAGACAGGAGCCTCGCTGACGGCTGGGGGGGGAGGGTGTAGGACCCAGCTCCAGCTCGGCTCCTACACTCCGGCCGACCAAAAATAAAACGGCGACAAAAACAATAACCGTCAAACGGCTCGACTGGTGTGTGTGCGGCGTGTAGCAGGGACGTGCCGCAGCAGACATGAACGGTATCACCAAGGGCCGGTTCGAGGTATGACACAGGGAGTGGACCACTAACGGTTAAACTGTTTGTTTCTAGTAGACGTGGGAGTCGTGGGCTTGTATAAGTGTGTATGTGTGTGTGTCTATGTGTGTATGTGTGTGTGTCGACCGTGCTCCTAATTTAACATGCAGTCGGGAGCCGAGGCGTTTTGTTGGTCAAGGGTAATCCGAAATCCTGTTATTGTCCTGCCGCACCAGTAGACAGCGACAACATGGAGCTGTGGACTGCGGGACAGGAGGGCTGTGGCTGAGGAGAGTCAATATATCAGGGCCGAGGCTGGCTGCCACTGTCGCCTGAGGTTACAGGCTTTCAGGAGGGGGCGACTGGGGCTGCGGATGGAGACTAGTGTTGTAAATAAAAAGCGGTGTAGCAGCATTCAATTAGTCATCACTTGGGTTTGGCTCATAACACTGTGACACCTCCTGTGATGTCTGTGAATGACAGGTGCCACAGGAGGGTTTAGGGTGGCTCTCTGAGAGTCACAGGCTCACTACAGATAGTCCTTGTATATCAAGAGCCAGTGATGCTACAGTAGATAACATGAGTGCTCTGAATGATCATTTGTCCTCCCACAACCTTTCCATGATCATATGCAGGAGAGAGGAAAACACGCACCCTTTTGTGTCCGAGCTCAGTGCTCGTCTGCAGTGGTGGAAGAAGTATTCAGGTCTTTAGCAGTATACCTGAAGGTTAAAAACACTTATACAAGCATGGGTGGATTATAAGACAGTGGGCCCCTGGGCACAGATACACAAAAGCCCCCTTCTTTTCCTTCATAGGGTCAAGAAACACAGACTTTGAGCTGGTTTTGCCTCTTTTTTGTTGTTCTTCCGCATCTCTTTGTAGTCGTGCATCTTTCTGTGGTTTTGTGTCTTCTTGAGATCATTCTGTGTCTCTGAGGTCATTTTGTGTCAATTTGGGCTTGTTTCCCCCCATTTTGTAGCTATTCTTTGTCTATTTGCAGTTCCTTTGCATATTTTTGTGGTTATTTTGAGTCTCCTCGTGGTTGGTGCTTGCTGGTTTTAGTGACACTTTGGACCCCTGGGCTTGTGCGTGGTTAACCTGTCCTGCATTCAGCATTTTAACCATATTGTATACATTTTGTACATCAAAATTTGAGCAGGTTTTGCCTCTTCTTTTGTTGTTGTTTTACTCTTTGTCTGTATGGCTTTTTTTTTTGGAGGTCATTTTGTGTCTTGTTTTGGTTGTTTTGTGTCACCTTGGGCTTGTTTTCCCCGTTTATGTAGTCACTTGGTGTCTTTTTGCAGTTTCTTTACATATTTTTGTGGTCATTTTGAGTCTCCTCATGGTTGGTACTTGGTCATTTTAGTGACATTGCAGGAGAAGTCCAGGGGGGGCCCTGACACTTTGGGCCCCTGGGCTTGTGCCCAGATAACCTGTCCTTTCTTCATCATTTTACTCATGTTGTATACATTTCCTGCATCTTTGCCTCTTTTGTGTTGTTGTTTTGCATCCCTTTGTTGTTGCTGTGCATCTTTTGTGGTTTTGTGTCTTCTTGAGGTCATTTTGAGTCTCTTTGAGGTCATTTAGTGTCTTTTGGAGGTCATTTTGTGTCTCTCTGAGGTCATTAAGTGTCTTCTTGAGGTCATTTTGTGTCTCTTTGAGGTCATTTTGTTTTGTTTCCCCCCTTTTTGTACTTTTTGTAGCTATTTGGTGTCTTTTTGCAATGTCTTTGCATATTTCTGTGGTCATTTTGAGTCTCGTCATGGTTGGTACTTGTTAATTTTAGTGACATATTGTTGGGGGGGGGTGTTGACTGGTTGACCTGTCCTGCATTCAGCATTTTACTCATGTTGTATACATTTCCTGCATCAAAATTTGAGCTGGTTTTGCCTCTTTTTTGTTGTTGTTTCACATCTTTTTGTTGTCAGTATGCATCTTTTTGTGGTTTTGTATCTTGTTTTGGTTTGGTTTGTGTCTGGTTGGGCTTGTTTCCCCCTTTATGTAGTTATTTGTTGTCATTTTGCAGTTCCTTTGCTTATTTTTGAGTCTTTTTGAGTCTCCTTATGGTTGGTAGTTGTTGATTTTAGTGACATATTGCAGGTGGAGGCCGGGGGGGCCTGACACTTTGGGTCCCTGGGCTTGTGCCTGGTTGACCTGGCCTGCATTCAGCATTTTACCCATGTTGTATGTATTTTGTGCATCAAAAGTAAACTCATAGTGCAGGCAGAATGATCCCCGTCACCATCATATCACTGGATGTTGATTATTCTGTATGTAGAGTTTTATGCTGCTGCAGGTTGAAGTATAAGAGAATGTTATTACTATACTGTTAGTTTAATCTTCAACAATACATCATATTTTGAAAGATGATGATCTGTTTTGCATTTGTAAAATGACAAGTAACTAGCTATAAAATGATTGTAGTGCAGTAAAAAGTGCAGTATTTTTCTCTAAAATGTAGTGGAGTTAAAGTATATAGTAGCAACTGACTGTGCTTACTTCTTAAGTAAACCTCCTTAGTTCTTTCCACCATTGCTCAACTGCATGCAGTTTTACAAATTGCTTTGAAGTGCAGCTTAGTCCACGTGCCTTCAATTAATGCGTATTACCAGTGGTAAAATAATGATCATGTTTCGCCGTGTCAGCGTTTTCTTAATAATTTTGAACAAACCTAAAATTAGCTCCTGTTGAGCTGGTTATAGGTCCCTATTAGCTGTGGGCATTTTGTATCTGGAATATTGAGAAGCTTTATGGTTTGACTTGACGGGACTGTACTTGACTTTCTCCATCAGGTATTCAGCTGGCTGCTTGATCGTATGTGTCTACGTGTGAGTGAATGAGAACAGAAGGTGGTAGTGGCGCTGATGTGTGTTGCCATATCAGTGGATTTCTCAGCAGAGCTGTAAGCTTCTTAGACGCAGATGAAAACCAGTGTGTGGTGGGAAACAAGCTGGTGTGGTAATGTGTGTCAGAAGAGTAGGGGCTAATAGAGGAGGACTTGGGAGGGTTGACTAATAGCCTAACACCTGAGATGATGCTTTATAATGAACACCTGGCACAAGCCCACTTGCTGTTGTTGTACTGCAGGCCCAAAACTGAACACACTATATGGCCCATATCTCATTTCCTCATAGTTTCTTTAATGTGGCAGCTTTAAACCTGAGACATGCAAGTTCTGAAGACAGATTTTCATACCCACCCAGTTGTACACTGTCTAGGAATAGGAGTATGACTGCAGAGAGGAACTCCCTGCTTGGGAATGCTGCTCTGCTGGCACAGGGAACGAGGGCACCAGAATGCTGAGATGATAACTTTATTAAAGCATGCGCACTGGAGATGAACCTTGCTGTCATAATGTCATAACTATGGCTGAGATCACACACTAAATACTTTGTTGGTGCCACTCCACCTGGCAACTTTTCCATTGGAGTTTAGGTCACACAACACTGAGGCACTTTTTTACTTCCTGTCCATTGACAGGCAAACAGAAATTTATATGAAATATGCTGCAACTAACAATTTAATAACAATTACATCATTGATTAATATATTTTATTAGACTGATTAATGGTTTAGTCTAAAAATAATGATGAAAGTTTTGTATGGCCAGCAGTTTAAACCCTTATCAAGTTAGTAGGTAAGATTTGATTGATACCACTGTCATTATCGATTCTGCTTATTGGTCTGATTCTTTATCGATTCCCTTCTTGATTCCCAATCAGTTTTCTGTTTGGAAAAGAGTAGGCCTACACCGGTTGTCAGCATCAGTGCAACTGTTTTATTATCTCTGAGTCTGAGCACAGTTTAGCTGTGTAGCGTTATTGTCATTATAACGTACCCTCGGTAATGAACTTGCTGCTGAGTTGGGAAGCAGTGGCTTCAAATACAGTTTCAAAAACATGGCATTCCTGGAATTTAACCTTGTGTTGCGTAGAAAGACATCTCAGCATATTGCAGGTGTCTCCACCTCTACTTAAAATGATCATTTTACAGACTTTGCAAGCAGCTGTTGTCATCGTTCTTCCTGAATAAAGCCACAATTTGGCCGATTACTCCTCTTCGCCATGATTCCTATTTGTTGCAAGTTTCAGAAACATGCATGGCTGCAGATACATTCTGTTTGTCACGTGCATGACACGCCCCTACAAACCGCGCCCACCACTAGTACAAGAGAAACCCACTCTTGTGACGGTTAGCTGAACTCTGCTACAATGCCAAACTGTAGTGAATAAATATGAGGCCATACATAGCAGTAATCCACTTTTAAATTCATTATACATAAAGACATTATTCGCTTTATATGTAACAAGATGTAACCCTTACCTTAACCTTACCTGCCTGTCTTTGAACCTTATACTTCATTGCTAGCTAATCGCTAACTTAGCATTTTTGTTTTTTGTCTGGGCTTGTGGTTCAGGACCAAGGGGCGAAGGGGGCAGTTATACCTACTCGAAATTTCAAGCAGTGTAGAAGCACGAGTTTAATGTCACTATTTTGCAGTGTGCAAGAAGAACATGCCGGTATCAATAAAAGGAATTTTTAAGCTTGTAGGCAAACAACTCTGATGGATCAGACAATTTAGAACAGGTTCTCAACTGGAACCAGTTCCCAAGTCCCATCCCTCCCGTTTACATGATATTACAGTTGCAATGATTGGTCTAATAGACAACTATTCAAGGGACTGAAATTTAATTGACTTAGTTATAATCGGCTTATTGTCAAAGTCAGTTTTCAAGAAAAAATGTGTACTATTCTTTGTGGTTCCAGCTTCACAAATTCACAAGGAATTTTCTGCTTATTGTCTTGTATCATAAACTGAATATTTTTGGTTTTGGACTGTTGGCTAATGAGCTCTAGGAAATTATGCTGTGCCCTTTTCACTGATTTATGATGTTTTACAGACCAAACTATTAATCAAATAATTTTTAAAAAAAAAGCAGTTTCACGGACAATGAAAATAGTTGTTAGTAGCAGCCCTAAATGATATAAAAGAGAGAATAGCAGCAGGTTTAAACCAGCAAATATTTGTTAAAATGATTTCAATGATTGTTTCAGTGACAATCTGAAAAGTCTAAATGTGAATCTGAATTTTAAGTACTTTCAATCACTAGAAAAGTGTGGACAGTGCCAGACTATACATTATGTTTCAATTAGCACGTTTAAATCACATGTAAAGATTATTTTGCCTGTGTTCTTTGCCTGTCAAAGCCCACCAGTTGTAGGTTGTCTAGATTGTGTGTAACCATGTGTCTGTTGACAGAAAGGTCAAAGGTGAGTGATGTGTTACAGAGGTGGTTTGGAATTAAGTCTAAATTTAGTCCTAAATCTTAAGCCACCGCTGGCTTTAGAGAGACACTGAGTCAATATACAGCAGGCCTCGTCTCTTCCTACCATTCAGTACACACAGTATTGCACAATTAAGGTCAATTTACTCTCCGTTAACTCAATTGATATGGTTCCAAATATAACTGGAAGTCACATCGTGATGATGAAGATTTAATTCTAAAGCGTTTATTCAGAGATTGTGTTGAGCCGTCATTAAGTAGCTGGTGTCAGCCCTCATGGGTAGATTGTGAAGAATAGTTCAATACAAGGCGATGTGGCAAACCAATGATGAGAAAGGTTTACCTTTATCCTGGAGCTATTATTGGATATAGTTAATGAATAGGTTCAGATCAGGTTCGAAGCTCTTTGTGTGCTGTGTTGTTACCTGAGCATTGATGTTAAAATTCAAACCAGCTCAGTTAATCTTTTGCTGGACCTTGACTGGACCAACTCCCTGTCGTTTGTCTTTTTAACCCCATTTCCTCTAAAATGGCCTTTACTTCCTCCTTGATAAGTTTTACACATATTTTTCCTGTAGTTCCTGACTGTAGCACCATCTCTTTCTTTGCCTCTGTCTCTTACTCTTTCTCGTGTTCCCCCTGTCCTCTCTCTTTCTCCCATCTTCCCTCACCGTTATTGCCTTCTCTTTCAAGGAGCCTGCATCTGTCATGGAGCTCGCTGAAGTCAAGACGTTTCCAGAATCAACCTTTGCTCCTCCTGTGCCTTTCCCCTCGCTCCCCTTTGTGTTTTTACATTTCAGTGTTTGTGTTTGCGTGTGAAGCAGCAGGGAGTCCCCCCCCCCCAACCTCCTCATTAGATACGGTTTCTGAGACTTTGAGGATACAAGTGCAGAGGCACAGCGAATGTGGGTGTTTGACGTAATTTAAATTCATGGCTGAATACGGCCCACCTGATCTAGAATGTTCTGCCTCTGTTCTTCACACAGAGGGGTCTGACTTGAATCACCTGCAAGTGTGTAAGTGTGTGTGAGTGTGTGTATGTGTGTGTGTGTCCCACTCAGCAGATGGCCAGACATCCAGCGAGTAGACTAATTGAGATAAGCATGCCAACAAGCTGACCAGGCTAACAGAATTATAAGCTTGTAAGGAGGGGATGTGGAAAGCCAAACGTAGCTCTGACTTGTTTATTAGCATCTCTTAAGGACGTAATAGCTTTTTTTTTCTCACTAGTAACTGGAAACATGTAAGGTTCTAGTTTTATTAAAGGATAGGTTCACATTTTTTTCAGAAGTCGTAAACCAACACACATTGAAAGTGTTCTTAGTTGATATGATCATTTCTCTTGTCCATACTGACTGTGAAGAGATCCCTTTTGATTTAAGTGATGGGGGACAACATTCACAGTCCTGTTTCTGTGTAAAAATTAGAAGTATGAGCTATAAAATCAAATGGGCATCTCCCAAATTTTGTACCAAATTATGTCCTTGTGTTTCCTTGCTGAACTGCAGTAAAGGGTTAGTAATAAAAAGAGGTGCTTTCATACAACAACTAGCTCTGGAGGATACCCATTTCATTTGACTGCTATTGGAACCTCTTTACTTTTGCTTCAGCTGAATTTTGGATACCTTTTTACACAGAATTAGCATGCGGATTGGCCCTGCTTACTTACACTGAAAGCATCAGCCTAGATTGTCTTGGTGTGAGTTGCAGAGTGTTGCAGATATCGGCTGTAAAGATGTCTGCCTTCCCTTGAGTATGATAGATCTAGATGGCACTCGGCTTTTGGTGCTCAAAGCGGCAAAAAATACATTCAAGAAACTGAACAGCAATGTCTCTTTCCAGAAATCATGACCTGGTTACTCAAGATAATCCACAGACCTTGTTGTGAGCCGTTTCATGTAGGAGCTATTTTCTTTCTACCAAACTACACCTGCCAACTGTATCAAGGATGCATCCACTCATGGACATGGACAGCACGACATTCATTGCGTCCTCCACGGCTGAGCTGTGACGTTAGCTAGCTCGATGGTGCTAGGTGAGCTAGCATTAGATAAATGAAGTCTTTGGCATGGTGATATAGTTGGCTGGTTTAGTAGAGTAGGAAGAAAATAGTTCCTACATGAAACTGCTCACAACAAGGTCTGCTTCGAGTACCACAAGCTGTATACCATCTCTTTCCAATATATTGGAGAGAAGACAAACATCTCTACGGCTGATATCGCCAATACTCTGTAGCTCCCACCAAAACAATCTAAATTTATTAATAGCACTACAGGCAAGAGAGAAAATATGTATCTCTGACTTTGGGGTGAACTGTCCCTTCAAGGCCTACTTGAAAAAATGTGAACTTATTCTTTTAACAAATTATGAGTTTGCCAAACAAAATAATATTGTATAAATGTCATGTATAGATCTGTATTTTATGTAGTGTTATATGATAATGTGCTTTTTATTGCCATGGTAACACCATGTGTCATCTCTCTGTGTCAATGCTATTGACCACCTCTAACACACAACACAAACACTCATTATTGTTGTTTATCTTTGTGTCTCCGCAGGTGTTCTCAAACAGCGATGAAGCCCCCATTAACAAGAAGCTCCCCAAAGAGCTTCTTCTTAGGTAAGATTAATAATAAGGAACCTGTACCTCCACATGCACACACCAGCACACGCAGAAAATACAACACAACATACCCTGGGACAAGGGCTTAGGTCAGAGTTAATCATTAGCTGAAGCAGCCTTGAACAGTTGTGTGTAGGAGTGTGTGTATTTGTATGTGTGTTGCTCACTAGTCTGAAATGAGGTTCTGTTAACTATGTGGCCTACAGACCAATATTTTGTCCCACATCAGCCGCTGCACATGACCTCTAAATCATACATCACACACACTCTCACACATGTGTTCATCCTCCACACTGATTTATAGATGTGTGTGTGTGTATGTTTAAAAAAGGAAGCACCTGCGTGTAACTCTGCAGACACATGATGTGTCGACTGTTTATTTCTGCACTTGAGCACTGCATGTTTAGGTGTGTGTCTGTGTGTGAAACACTCCTGGGCCTATGCAAACTGTACGTCTGTGTATGTGTGCTATAAATAGCCCGTCTTAGCTGGTGGGGAATTCCGCAGTGCTGTGCTCTTCTGCTGCTCCAGCTGTGCTCCACAGAGACTACCAGTACACCTATTACCAACAGCTATACTTTCACTGGTGGGGCAGAAAAGACATGTACTCTCATGCACTCCCTCTATGACACATCACATGACCTACTGTCACATGTGTCATGTTCAGACACTTGCATCAGCTGTGAGGAAGACTCATTGTTCCTGCAGATAATCTTGTTTTTAAACCATGGAAAGTGGGTTAATTGGCGCCATTTGTTCTTGTATTTATAATTTTGTTACGTCCTGTCACCATGGTACACAGTGATGTTGTTCTACGTACATTTTTGTGTTATGAAAGTATACATCTGTGTGTAGACATTTTGAACAAAACAATCACATACAGGTGATTTATTCACACCATTTTTTACAATTAGACATTAATTAGTGTAAAGAGTAAAGCAGAGTTTCCCATCCAGGGGATTGGGACCCCTACAAAGGGGTTTCCCAATAAATCCAAGGGGTTGTTAGATGATGAATGGGACAGGAAAGAGGAAAAGGAATGTTCTAGGTAGGTTATTCTCTTCATTTTTTCATTAGAAATACTGGACATTTTTACCTCCTCAGGCACCTATTGTGCTAATTTCTTAGGTACATACTTTGGGTTTCTACTAAAGCATGTTTACATGCTTTAATAGTCAAAAAACACTTTATTTTCCAATTCTATCCAATCCAATTCTGTATCCAATTCTCTGTATACAACCATTTAACCTTTATTTCAGCCTGAGAATGACTGCAACAGAGAACAGCAACACTTTCTACCATGAATAAGTACCAATAAAAGCCTCTAAATACAGCCTGTTAGGATCCAGCTGAATGTGATCCAGCATAGGGGACTAATTAACAACATTGGCAACCAGAATCACATGTGGCCCTGACGTTAGCATGTAGCTGCATGTAGCAGTGTTTGTAATGTAAAAACCTGCAGTAGCGTGCCTGGAGAAAGTGAACATTGAAAGAAACAGAGTACTCAGAACAGTCTGAGGTCTTTGCTCACAGGGATTACTTTACACACGTTATTATTTGTAACTTTGGCCACATTTAATAAGAACATCTGACATTGTAACATTATTGGACAGAAAATATGAAAATGCATAATAGATCCCCTTTAACACTTATTTAGAAGAAAAAAGAGCTACAACTTACAACTGTTTTTTATCATCAATTAATCTGGCAGTAACCTTCTCAACTAATCAATTAATCATTTTGTCATTAAAATGACAGAAAATAGTAAAAAATTGCCAACTGTAAATTCCTGTAGCCCAATGTAAGGTAAATGTAAAACCCAAAGATTTGTAGATATGTCAAAGAAAAGAAAACACTGCTTCATTTTAAGGGGTCACCAGCCAAATAAAGGGTTGGACCCACTGGAGTAGATCACCCATGTGGTATGTATTGGCATGTATGTTGCCACAGGAATATTTGCTAATGAGTCTGTTAATGTGTTTAATTAGCCTTCTCATTAGCATTAGTGTTTATGTTTAATGTATCACTGTGAGCAAGCCCGGTACCTGCTTTGTTTTTGCGTTCGTGTGCCTCTCGGGCGCTGCATCATGAACAGCTGTTATCTAGGCCAGTGCAGCATGGATATAAACTGTGAAAACTGTGCCGCGATATAGAAGAACCTTGTCTGACAGACAAGCCTCGGAGAGAGTTCAGAGTGGTTCAGGGTCTTCTTACCCAGAAGCACTGACTCAGCACCCTCCCCGCCACCACCCAAATTCATGTCTGACTGGAGTTACTATGGCAACCAATCCTAGACTCATGGTGACGGCTCGACTCTCTCTTATCTTGCTATGCTTGAAGGGCCAGGTGTACATTTTGTCAACAAATGGGACTATGCTCCATTAAAATCACATTATGTACCATGTCAGAAAAAAATAGGCAGGATTTGATGGAGCAATCAAAGGCTACTAACTTATTTTCTGTTCTGTCTTTGTTCAGGCAGCATCAGAGCTTTCTTGCTCATGTTGTTGTACCTCTGAATTTGCTCTATTATATCACCTGTTATAAAAAAAGTCGGTGAGTCCATTTGTATTGAACAATTTGTCTTCATGTAAAACATCATGGGTTGTTCTCAACCAATTTGCTTTTACTGTCAAGTGCAAGTGTCAAATATTTTAACAGGACTGAATGAAAGTTGCTAGCACTAGCTCCAACGGTCACTAAAAGTCGCCAGATGACATCATAGGCTCATTTGCATATTGGCAACATCCTTCCAAACAAATGAAAGTATTAAAGCTTTGCTGAATTAGATTCAGCAGTAAAATTCTCTACATAATAATTGAACGACATGGGAGCGATGGTGCTTGTACTGTAGTGCACCACTTTTCTCTCACTTCCAATGCAAAGTGTCAACATAACCATAGAAACTCACTACTAAGCTCACTGCCTGTCTCACACCTACTGCACGACGCAGGAGAAGAGAGGCAGAGACCCCTGCACTGATGAAGGAAGAGCTGTGGACTGTGATTACTCTGAGCAGCATGCATTGGAATAAATTACAATATATTTCTCTCTCTTTCACTGATGGTCTGAATGAAAGGGCTGTCCCAAATATCATTTTTTTGGTATTGAAGCTTCAGTGAGAATTATCTGTGGGTCGCAGTGACATTGGGCATATTAGCTAAACAGGAGAATACTTTGCAAGACAGCTGTTTGACAGTTTATGTACAGTTTGCAGGTGGTTTCCCAGGCTTGTTTCCTTTGGCACTCAACTTTTTGGGGGTCATTTTGATTAAGTTTGAAACTTTACAAGATGCTTGACTTTTTCTACATCTTTCTAGTGTATCGTTATGCCTGTCACATGCTGTCAAATGTCTTAGACAACTGACATTAGATGAGAGCGAGTTGGAGTTAAAAAACTACCGCTAAGTTTAAATGTCCTTCTGTGTGGAGTTTGCATGTTCTCCCTGTGTCAGCGTGGGTTTTCTCTGGGTACTCCAGCTTCCTCCCACAGTCCAAAGACATGCAGGTTAATTGGTGACTCTAAATTGCCCGTAGGTGTGAATGTGAGTGTGAATGGTTGTCTGTCTCCATTTGTCAGCCCTGTGATAGTCTGGCCACCTGTCCAGGGTGTACCCCACCCCTTGCCCAGTGTCAACTGGGATAGGCTCCAACGAACAGGATAAGCGGTTATGGATAATGAATGAATACGTTTAAATGTCCTTGTCTGGGAATAATAAATAACAATATAAACCTTTTTTTTTTTTTGAAAATAGAGTATTTGAATACTGATTTGGATGTTGATTGCCATGGCAACGATCAGCACCTTCAGCCCTACTAAATAAGTTGCTAAATTTGTCACCAGTTGCTTTTTAGAAATAAAGTCTCTAGGAAGGTATGAAAAGTTGCTTAATCTAGTGTGAAAGTCGCCAAGTTGGCAACACTGACCTTAAAAATAGGCAAATGTTAATTCCTTTACTCAGATGACACAAAAATTAGTGCTGTGATGATGGATGTTACGGGATCTGTGACAAATACAAATGCAGAGCCCACTGTTATACTATGACAGTTTTCCTAAAATAAAATGAAAAATAAAAAACTTTAAGTATATGGCCTCACTTACAATATTGCACTATATCACAATATATCGTATAGTAACTCTTGCATCATGATACATATCGTACCGCCATATTCTTGCAAATACACGGCTCCATCATCAAATCCGATTGACTGATCGCTTCCCTGTAGCCTAAGTATGATTAACAGAATCCCTCTGTGGTCGGTAAAAGGCCTCTCTCTCACACATAATGGAAAGTCAGATTGTGTTTGATTAAAACAGACAGTCAATCAATGATCAGCGTCACAGCCATTAACCAGTTATTAGAGGGGAGATCGATGAGCTCCTGCTTGATTGGTCAGCTTCTCTGGTGGCCTGCGATCACTCCAAGGACTGTGTGTGTGTGTCTTGTTTTGTCGATTGTGTGCATGTACTCCCTGATACAAGACTCCGTATAGTTTAGGCGGACATGTCCCAACATGCCCTGGCCCAACGCACATCAAAACACACAGCCTTTGTCTGCATCTATATGAAGGAAACAATGGCCGGCTCCTGTTTCCTAGGGTTAAAAGGACATTCAGACCCCAGCTGCACTCAAAGCTCTGGCACCATGACAATTCTCTGAATACCTCACATTTTCTATAGATTGGCCCTTGAAGGCTCATCTGTGAGCAGTAACTATAATGAATCGCCGGTAGCTCAGATGAGGTGTACATGTTTAGTTTCCTGCACATGTGTCTGTGTATATATATATGTATGTTTGTCTGTCTGTCCCACGCTGTCTGTGGCCTTGCCTGTCTGAGTGCCAGAGATTACTCATTGGCAGATTAATGGATTGAGCTGACCCAGTAGCCTGCTGCATGCAGCCCTTTGTGGCTGACCGCCCCACAGCTCAAACACTGCCTGTCTGTGGGGCTCTCCTGCTACCAACCAAACACCACAGGGGGATTGTTCTGTTCTCTACAGACACACAAAACACATGAATAAAATTACACAAAAGGAAAACTATTCAAATATAAAGTCTAGTTAGAAACTGAGCTCTTTATCTGAGAGTGATCACTGACAAACTCTGTTTTTGTCTCTCTTTCTAGAATATTCTCCTATCTAGATGTGGTGACACTCTGTAGGTGTGCCCAAGTATCCAAGGTAAGCGCTTCCCTCTCTTCACCTGCACACCACCCACTAACACACTCATTGTTTTAAAAGAATGGATGCAATCCTAAACTATGTTATGGTTAAATTTAAACCGGTTTACCATCATTGAATTCTCTAGACATGTCTATAATATAGTGCCATCTGCTGGTTATGTGGAAGTGCACCACTGTTTAGCCACAGTGCACTGCAGCTAAAAGCTGTTTATGAATGAGCTATCTGTGAATAAAAACAGGGGCTTGGCAAGTAGACTGTGAATACAGAGCTGTGGCAGCTGCTTCTCTTATAACAGCGCCAACGTATTTTGATTAGAAAAATGTTGTTTCTCTGTACCTGTGATGAAAGTGCAGGTTTTCAATCTTAGGGTTGCTTCACCTCTTGTCTGCACAGCTTCATGCAGGTGTCATTCTGATGATCATTTAGCCGATAAATTGTTCGGTTATTTCGTCTATTAGATATCAAACAACAGGGAAACATGCTCATTATCAATTTTCTGGAGCTCTGGAAGTTTTCAGGTGTGTGGTTTTGTCTGACCAAAATCCAGATATTTTAAGTTTACAACTGCGATTACAAAAAAGTTGGGGCCACTGTGTTATATCCCCTTTTCTTTTAACAACACTCAGTAAGTGTTTGGGAACTGAGGACACTACTTGTTGAGGTTTGAGTGACATTTCTTTTCTCAAGATTCACAAGCAGGCCCCCCAAAATCTTCAATTTTAACTTAAAAAACTGTCTGTGTGAAAAATGGGGCAAAATCCCACCTGCACACTGTGACAGATTATTTCTTCAGACAGGAAGCGCCTTGAAGCTGGCATTGCAAGCAAAGGCTTCTCCAAGTGTAAAATAAATTTCAGCTAGCATGTCGAATGCTTTTTTGCTGTGTCATCATTTCACTTTATTGCACATAATTGTTATGGATTGAAATATTATGATTTCTCTATCAGTGTAGTTTTATTGAGTTAAGACCTGGTAATCTCTGGTCTAAATTTCATGCAAAAAGCTGCATTTGAAATATGTTTAATGAAAGAAAACTTGACATGTTGAGCCCTTATTTACCCCACTATATGTCGAAAAAGATTGCGAATCATTGCATTTTGTTTTATGTGCGTTTTACACAATGTCCCAAACAGAGAAAAGAAGCAAATCCTCACATTAAAGAGGTTCTAGATGGAAGTAAGATGTGAAAACAGCAGCTCGTGCACCTGCTCCAAGAACAAAGAAACACAAAGAGGGCATAGTCAATGCATACACAGAGTCAGACACATAGAGGCTGAGCTGCTATGTTCAGTCATTTCTTGTGCATTTTATGATAACAGAGTCACCATTCACTGACCTACATGTCTGTCTCTGTCCACAACCTGTCTGTCTCCGTCTCAGGCGTGGAATGTCCTGGCCCTAGATGGCAGTAACTGGCAGAAGATTGACTTGTTCAACTTCCAGACAGACATAGAGGTGAGGGATGTGTTTGTGAAACAGAATAAGAGGAAGAGTGAAAGGGTAGAATGGACAGTATTTGTGTGTGTGTGTGTGTGTGTGTGTGTGTGTGTGCAGCACGTGTGTGCTTGTTGAGTAGCATTATCCAGCCCAAGGCTTATCGCTGTGTCGGTAGGCTTTGGTGCCGACTGTGACGTCACGGCTGATCCTCTGTCCTGTGGCCCAAGTCATATCACTCTCTCTCTCTCTCTCTCTTTGTGTCTCTCCATCTATCTGTCCATCTCTCTCAGGGGCGGGTGGTGGAGAACATTTCAAAGCGTTGCGGAGGCTTCCTGAGGCAGCTGAGCCTCAGGGGCTGCCTGAGTGTCGGAGATGCCTCCATGAAGTGAGATTGTCATTGTCTCTCTGGCATACACTGACATAATAAGAGTTCTACTGTTTTTAATTTGATCTCTTGTTAGTTTGATTACAGTTTGTTGTTTAAAGTGGTTATGTTAAAAGTTTAAATGGCTCGGGCCTCCTCAGTCCCAGGGGACTCTATACAAGAAACTCTTTTTTTCTAATTGCATTTAATCTCACTTTACTGTGAAAACAAAAAAGACAAATGAAGAACAATGGGGTATAATTTTTTTTGTATATATAACAGTTGTACCTCTTGATCTGTTCATTTTCATGGTTTTACCTGAAGATATTTATCACCTCTATAAGCAACTGATTTAAAGGGACAGCCCACCTCAAATTTAAAAAAAAACCCCTAATGATTCCTCTTACCTCTGTTGCTATTTATCAGTCTAGATTGTGTTGGTGTGAGTTGCTGAGTGTTGCAGATATTCGCTGTAGAGATGTCTGCCTTCTCTCCAATATAATGGAACTAGATGGCACTCAGCTTGTAGTGCTCAAAGCGCCAAAAACATACATTTGAAAACTCAACAATAATGTGTCTTTCCAAAAATCATGACCCAGTTACTCAAGATCATCTACAGACCTCGTTGTGAGCAGTTTCATGTAGGAACTATTTTCTTTCTACTGAACTACACCTGCCAACTGAATCACCATGCAGAAGGAAGCGTGCACCTACTGCTAGCTCACATAGCACCACTGAGCTAGCTAATATTACAGCTCAGCTGAGGAGGATGCCATTAATATCAGCTTCTTGCGCTGTCATAAGCACAGGCCTCTCGTCCATGAGGAGGTGCACACTTCTTCTGCATGGTGATAAGGTTGGCGGATGTAGTTCGGTAGACAGGAAATCGTTCCTACATGAAACTGCTCAAAATAAGGTCTGTGGATTATTGTGGGTAACCATGTCATGATTTCAGGAAAGAGACATTGCTGTTGAGTTTGTTAGTTGTACGTTTTCGGCGCTTTGAGTACCACAAGCTGAGTGCCATCTAGTTGCATTATATCTGAGAGGGCCGACATCTCTACAGCAGATATCTCCATCACTCGACAATTCACACCAAAACAATCTAGACAAATATTACTAAGTTTATGAGGAAAAATATGTGTTTTTGATTTTTTTTTTTGGTGACCTGTGCCTTTAAAGAAGTACAAGCTGATCCTTGGAGAATAAAATAAGAAACGTGTATTAGGTGTACAACAACCTCCCAAGGGCCTGTAGATAACTCTGTTAATTAGCTCCTGAGCATCTCTTGGCATCTGACTTCTTACTTATTCAATAAAGCGACTCTTGAGTAATTCCCCTTCGTCCCTGTCTACTGTTTCAACTGTTTTCCAGGACGTTTGCTCAGAACTGCAGAAACATTGAAGTGTTGAACCTGAACGGCTGCACCAAGATCACAGACAGCACCTGTCTCAGCCTCAGCAAGTTCTGTTCCAAACTCAAACAGCTAGATCTCACGTCCTGTGTGTCTATCAGCAACCACTCCCTTAAGGCCCTCAGGTAGTGTTTGCACACTTGGTATTGTTACCCAAACCCATATAACATGACCACCATTATTCTCTTTAAGAAAATGTTCTTAATTCCTCCTCAAGCCCTTAATATAATATAATATAATATAATATAATATAATATAATATAATATAATATAATATCAGACATATCTCCATTCAATTCACATGTCCTCTGTGTTTTGTCTTATTCGTCTCTGTGCGGATGCTCAGCGATGGCTGCAGAATGCTGGAGATGTTGAATTTGTCATGGTGTGACCAGATCACACGTGATGGCATCGAGGCTCTGGCTAGAGGCTGTAATGGTTTACGAGCACTGTTCCTCAGAGGCTGCACACAGGTACAGTCATTTTTTTTCTTTTAGCAGGCATTTTGTGTCTTCTTTATCAATAGGGAGTGCTTTTATACCATGTTGAAATACATTTTTTGACATACAATTCCAGTTCAACCTTTAGGTAGCCCAAAAAATACAGTCACAAGACCATAATTTTATTTAGGCTGTTTTTTCTTACAAATTTTCACCATAAAATATCAAGATTTCTTAAAAGGAGTAGATTAAGACACCTGACTTGGTTTTTATCTCTCCATGCATTAAGACGTTACTGTGTTACCTGCTGCCAGATGACACTGTTCACTACAGTTTACTGTAAACACAGTCCTCTGGTGGTTAACGCTGTGCCTCAGCTGTGGAAAATTTTAAAACAAACCTACAGAATACTCAGAACAAATACTTATTTATCCCCACATTATCTAAGATAAAAACCAAAACCACAATATACCCTACACTTCTTTCCCATTGCTAAAAAAAGTCACGCAGCCCTTATTGAGGAGAAATGTGCCCTTTTCCCTACTTACTGTTCCCAACAGTACATTTTCCATCCGATGAAATTTTTAACTTAATCTTACTGGTTGTTTTTTTGTTGATGTAGTGGTTTGTGTCAGGCTGGCATTTTCTTTTTCTGCTGCCTCTGTAGAGCCAATATTTTCTTCAGGCTGTGTGCTCAGTTTTTTTTAAACCAAAGTCTGTTTTTCTTGCCTGAAGAAAAAAAACCCATGAAACCCCCTTAAATAATTGTTGGGGGCTCAGAAAGGACAGTAGTCACATATTATTGATTTGGAAAAGGAGGAAAGGTTTCTCCCATCAAGACACAAAAACACAGACACATACATAAGTTACTGATTATTGATTTAGGTTTTTTTTAACAGTACGATGCATTTTTTGTTTTATTTTAATACAGCTGGAAGATGGAGCATTGAAGCACCTTCAGAAACACTGCCCAGAACTCACCACCATCAATATGCAGTCTTGCACTGTAAGTTGTGGGATGGGGGGAGGGGAGGAGACTGATAATAATGCATGAGGGCTGCGTCTGTATGCCTCTGTGTTTTTGTAATTTGTCTCCTGCGTCTGTCGCCTCCAGCAGATAACGGATGAAGGCTTGGTCAGTCTGTGCCGAGGATGCCACAAGCTACAGATCCTTTGTGTGTCTGGCTGCAGTAACATCACTGATGCCTCCCTCACTGCAATGGGACTCAACTGTCCCCGACTCAAGTGAGCAAAACACACCTGTCCCACCATCCTTCACAAGGACAGCAGCAGCTTGCTTCAGTGTCCACAAAACATCCTTCTCGAGCAGTGTGACTACTGTCTTTTCCCCTAATGGACTGGGATCAACTTAGGTATTTGTGGTTCTGCGTGTAATTTTAGCAGCCTGAAAATGCCAGAATCCATTGTAAGTCTCTTTTTTTTTTTATCAGTGTTGTCCTCCCACATGCTTGAGAACGTGTAAATGTCTTGAGAGACAGGTGCATCAGAGCAGTCACGTCAGGGTGAACAAAAAGAAAAGGTCCCACATGCTGTCTAAGGCTTGGAAATAAATTATTCTGTTGAACAGACAAGGTTACAGTCTGACAAGGATCTCAGGTCTGATTAAAACCCGTACAATATGCTGGCTGATGATTTTGTGTTTGTCTGTGTGTTCTCAGGATCCTTGAAGCTGCACGATGCTCGCATGTTACTGATGCTGGGTTCACTGTTCTGGCCAGGGTGAGTTTCAGATTGCTCTCTGTGTCCTGTTTTCTCTTTTGTGAACTGTTTCTTGGGGTCATTTAGACCATTTCTGAGTTTAATTGAATTATCTCTGTTTCTTTCACAGAATTGTCATGAGCTTGAAAAAATGGACTTGGAAGAATGTATTTTGGTAAGACAGTTTGTGGTTTCCTATTTTATTCCCAACATCATGCTCATGGTATTTATCTGTGTTGAATCTGCTTTGATTTTTGGCTTTGATTGATTTGTGTGGGTAGAGATTAGATTGTTGGAAAAAGGCAGATGTGATTGTGTGCATGACAGAGTTATGTTTCCAGCCAGTGACTTCAGTATTTAAATAGATTTTGACAGAAAGCAGAGAGGAGGACAAAAATGGAGTGTCAAAGGCAAAATAAGTTTTAGCAGGATACAAAACTAGACACGAACCTGCAACACATGCTTTCCACAAACTGTGAATTATGTAACGTTGCGAACAAACTGTGTGGAGACATGTGAGAACAGTTCGTTAATGAAGCTTGTCCTCTCCTCAGGTAACAGATAACACCTTGGTTCAGCTGTCTATCCACTGCCCTCGCCTGCAAGCACTGGTAAACATTCACTCCTGCAGTTCTGATTTTGTGCCAGGTTCTGCCTTAGCTTGTGTGCATGCTTATGGAGCTTTAATCCAGCTATCTGTGTGTCTTCAACCCTGTTTGCTGTGTCCCGGATGGACAGTCCCTGTCCCACTGCGAGCTGATCACAGACGATGGCATCAGAGCTCTGAGCAGCAGCACCTGCGGCCAAGAGCGCCTCACCGTGGTGGAGCTGGACAACTGCCCCCTCATCACTGATGTGACCCTGGAACACCTGAAGAGCTGCCATCGTCTGGAGCGCATTGAGCTCTACGACTGTCAGCAAGTCACCAGGGCTGGCATCAAACGCATCCGGGTCAGTGAACATCATGGAGACATGTTTTTGGTGACATAGAATCTGCTCTTTTTGGAGATTTGATAAGTGATCTCTTAAAGTCACTTCTCTGCTCAGTTATCGGTCCTGTTTACACCTGGTATTTAGATGCATCTTAGGTGGTCGGATCACAAGTGGACAGCTCTAACACTTCTTCCAAATGGATACACTGCCAATGAGCAAACAAGCGAACGTCATAACCAGCTCTGTTTGTCAGCAAACAGGCTAAGCGGCATGCCACTTGCTTGAGCTCATTCTGGCTCTTTTTTTTTTGTGAAGTTTTGTGCACCTCCAACCTATTTTCAGAGCAACAGCAAGCTGTTTCTTGGGCTTGATCGAGGCTTGATAGGCTCCCTGAATGGTATTATTGCTCGTACTATATTTGGAGAAATATCCTTGTTCCATCCACCAGAGTTCACTCACTTGCCATATTTTAGAAAGAGGAAGTCTGACTGTTTACACCTGGCATAAGAATGTGGTCCACATCTGTCTGGAGGGACCACTCCTCCGCTCTACACGCAAATAAGCACATACATCACTTCTGTTTGTAAAGACCAAATGCGTTATTTTACCAGCAGGAGGCAGATATGCACTTCCTGAATCCTGTGTCTAGTCTGATGGAAAATAAAAGGACCAGAGGAAGACATTTGCAAAGACCTTAATGCGCAGGGCATATGGGAGAAGTTTTCTTTGTAGGCTTTCTCCCAGAAAGCTCACTAGAAGGAAGTCTATTCATTCATTACCTAACCACCTTCCTAACCTTAACCAGGAAGAGCCTTTCTGGTAGAAAGCCTGTTAGGTACACTTTTCCCAACTGCACACACGGGTAACATCAAAACAACACAGACGGCATCCATTCCCTGGCGTGTTCCACATTGTTATGGCTTCTTCCTCTTGTTTCGCACTTTAAATCAAAGATGTTGGTGCACAAATTAGTACGTACTTACACCTATATAGAGTACGTCAGCTGAGTAGGTGACCATTCAAAGTGTCCAAGGACACAATAGCATACACACTACTGAAAGAATGTGGCTAAATGCGGCCCAGGCCACTTCCAAATGTGGTCTGAGAGAGCTCTTAAGACGAAATGAGGATGCATTGGGTGCATTCACACTTGCAATTAGAGCTCTCCACTTTTGATCTGATCACCAAAGACATGTTAACACCAGGTGTGAACGGGGCCATTCTCTAAGTTATTTTATCTAAAAATCATACACTGTAGTTTATACTTGGATTAAAGGTATACTATGCCGGATTGTTTTGCATACTCACTTTCATTTAGCATTTCTGTGCTGTGCCTTTTCCTAAAGCCCCATCTCACCTAAGCCCTGTGGTGGTGCATGGCTAACATCCCCAACACAAAAAATAAGAACATACAGGCAGAGGGCAGAGTTTGTGCAGATAAAGACACCACCATGCACTTCTTTGAATAAATAGTTTAACATTTTTGGAAACACACTGATTTGCCTTCTCGCATAGAGTTAGATGAGAGGATCAATACTACTCTCATACAGTGTGACAGTGGTATTGATCTTATTTTACTCTCAACAAGTACACAAATAAGTGTATTTCCCAAAATGTCAAACCATTCCTTTAAGGAAAAACGGTTGAGTGGACACAGAAGAGAGGCCTGCAGATGTGCTTTTTTCTGTCTTTGTAATAACACTCTTCCTTATTCCCACACAGGCCCACCTTCCAGAGATCAAGGTCCATGCTTACTTTGCTCCAGTGACACCCCCTCCCTCTGTACATGGAGGTGGCCAGCGTCTGTGCCGCTGCTGCATCATCCTCTGACAGTGGAGGGCCAGGGGGGGCCACCTCTGTCTACAGGTCCTGCTGCTCTGATATGGGCTGAAATGGGATAGGGGGGTGGGGGTGGGGGACTGAGGTAGGTGTAGGGGAGAGGAGGGGCTGGACCCACTCGCTGCTCCTGATCACTGATCAATACATAGACTGATTACCCCTGATCAGTTGAACCCGCCTCTCCTCTCTCCTCTTGCTCACCAATCAGGAGTGCAGCAGCCCCGGGGTTTGGGCGTGGAGGGGTGGGTGGAAAGAACACGGATGGATGGACTCTCTCTTTTTCTCTCTGTATCTCATTCTCACTGTAAAGACAACAACAGGTTCTCTACTCCATCCTGCTCCTCACACCCCTGACTCCCCACCTGTGGGCATAGAGGACTGCACCTGGACAGCTGGAGATGGGACTACAATGCATCATGTTCAACCTAAAAAAAAAAAAGAAGAAGACAATAATGTCATCTTGGGCGACAGTTTGCTCTCTGTGGAGTATCATCTCAACCAATCACACGACACCTCTATGTGACCATCCTGTGATTCATTCTGCTTTGACCAATAAACACGCAGCATGGAGGGGGAGGAGAGCTGGGTCATAGGGAAATGCAGATCTTCTGGCTATAAACAGCGAAGCTTTGGTGCAGCCTGCTCAGCTCTCTAGTGTGGAAGAGTTGAGAAACAACAGGAAGGAGTACAGAAGGGGACATGTGACATATTTGTGCATCTGAGAAACTTTTGTTGAGATTTAGATTCTGTTTGTACAGAGAATGTTTTGCAATGGAAAAAAAGAGTTACACTTAACGGCAGTTCACTCAAAATTGGGGTAGGCCAACAAGAAAATTGTTTTATTTTATTTTTTTCAGTGCTTATTGTAATCGTCCATGCCTGTCTATCCAGAGAGGAAGATATGTTCGTCATTCTTTTTGAATAGTAAAAGAAGCAACTGTTGCTGTTTAACAAAAAAAGGACCTATGATTTAGACCCTCAATGTCTAAAAGCGTTATGTTGACTCTGTATGCTGCTGGGATGAGTGGCCTCTCCTGTGTACTACGTGGTTATGTTGGCTCGTTGGCCCTGATCCAATCCTGTCAGTAGCCCTGTGCACTAGCTCCTACTTGGCCACTTAAGCATTTGTTTACATCCTGGATTAGATTAGCACCACAGAACTTGTTTACATCAGTAGGTTTCCAGTCTCCCTACTATTCAGAGTGAGTGTAGTAGCACTGAAAAACTGTGGTATACCCACTGTTTTTTAACTGGACTGTGAAGTCCATTATTCAAATTTATTGCTGTGTGTATTTGGATATCAATCAGGGCTAACGGTGGTGCAACTTTGCTTCAAAATGGAATGGAAATTTGCTTAAAGATGAGATATTAATTAAGAGAATGTGAGCAAAGGCACCTCAACCTTCTGACAATCACGTGAATTTATGTATTTGAAAGTTACTTTAGTGTATTTTTGTGTAATTGGCAATTTATTGATGTAGGATATAATGAATTATCTGTATTCAGTATACTCCACCTGCGTAATGCCCCAGGCGGCACATGATCGGTGACTTAGAGATAGCATTTGACACAGGTCTGGTGAGATTTGCCAATCTAATGTATTAAATTGATCAGCAACAAATTCCCACTCACCCAATCCTACAAAACATATGTGACAACAGGGATGTGATATGCAGTGACTGAGAACCAACAGTTTATTTCACTCTATACAAAACACTCCTTCTGATCAACAGGATTTCAATGTTATCTGTCTTGCCATGCGAGTAACACATGTATGGGGCATGAAATACCACTACTCAAAGCACTGAAAATACAACACAATTTTGCGCTAAAGAAGAGACTGGCAAGTGCTGCGTAGTGCCAAGTGCTCAAAGACTGGGGAGATTGGCAGGACAATGGCTAGGACTGACACAAGGAGAGCAGACAGAAGGATGAAGAGAGACTCAGATGGATACATAGCTGACTTGACTGGCTGTGATACTAATGCCCTCTCTTTGACAGCTGTTTTAACAGTTTTATGTTTAAGAAAATAAAGAAATAAAGAAATAAATGAAAAAATAAACAAATGAATAAATAAAAGTGACTAATAGTAAATGTGCTTTGTCTCTCCAGAGTGAGATTTTGTCTGAAGAGTTCTTCATAAGTAAACTGCGGCAAACTGAACACAGGCAACACCGCAGCTTCACCGCTAGATGTCACCCACGAGCCGTGTAGCCTGCAGACACACCCACATAGACAGTGCGGCTTGTTTGATTCATGACTCCAGTACGGAAAACACAAATCATGTAGCCATAACATTTGACACGAATATAATTTTACTTAGTGTTTCTTCTTCACAAGTGCGGTCCCGGTACATTTGATAATCCGTCATTTTACATCAGGCAGTGCTCTGGCTAGCTGTGCGGTGCCTGAGGACCCATCGGCCTGATCGTTGATCAGTTGCGCTGGTTGCACCGCCTGGTGAATTGCAGTCCCCGGCAGCGCGCAGGCTTTCAGTGTACCTTAACGGGTTTAACGGGAGCGGCGATTATTCCTGGATTAAACAGAAACCAGTTACCGCGGGACTGGAGCTGGGGCCTTTACTGTGGAGGTTTGGTGCAACTTTACCACTAAAGAAGTCGACAGCTGGGAGCTCAGCAGACTTTCCAGACTGTGGTCATGGAATAAAAAAGCGGACTGGAGCCAGGCGTTGGGCCTGCGGATAACTGACGTTAGCTAGCTGAGCTAGCTGATGGGAAGCGGTCTATCCTTGTTTGGGTCGCCGTGCTAACTAGCTAGGTGCTATTTTTGTTAGCATAACAATTAGCCGACCGGGGTTGCTGGCTTGTTTTGATGTAGGTGTATTGAAGGAGCCGTCAGGGGTCCAGGATAATCACACGTTTCCTGAACTTTCTCGAAGTTTTAAGTTAGCTAACCACCTGAGCTAACGTTTAGTGAGCACGCTAGCGAGCTAACGTTACGTCTTTGTAGTACAAAGTTGCGCTTTTGATTTGGGCAGAGGGATGGTCTCTGTGCTAAATTAATCTGTATTTTTTTTAAATCAAGGGATTGTATGTTGATGATCATACATCAGTTAGACGCCGTCCAGACCGTACAGTCTCTCTGCACCTTCACGGGACTACACTTATCGTTTTCGGTTATTTACACCCCGTCCTACCGACCGCAGTCTCCTGTCCTCGGCCGGCTCCAGTGGCTGGCCACACGGCACTGAGTGCCCAATGGAGGAACATGACAACATGGACTATTTTTACCAGCAGGTAGTGCAGAAAGATGTTACCCGCAGGTTGCAGGTCGGCCAGGATCTCATCGACTACCTGAACGACCCGCACCGCTCCCCGGACGTGGAGCAGGACAAACCCCGGCTGGATAAAACCATAGACGAGCTAACGGGATGGGTGAACTCCAGCAATTTCAAGGTGAGAGATCCTGGCCAGTCATCGTATGAGGGAATCGCAGTGTCACTGCAGTAGTCATCCCCTCGGCCTGGTCATGAATTATTTTCCACCAGTTTCCCAAGTGAACCGGAAGGGAGAATGATATGATGGGGATTTTATGCTGTTTGCCAAGAGGTTGGTTTCGATGCCACCAACTTCTGCAGAGATAAGGCATTTCAAACCAGCTGTCATCACCTCAAGGCGCGAAGACAACTATCTCTTTTAATACAAAGCTTATCAAACTGGTACCCCCCTTCTTATCACACCTCAGCCAAATCAGAAGCTGCAAAATTTAATTTCATAAAGCGCATCCACATACCAAACCTAGAAAAAGCTGCAAGCTATGCGTTTCCCATCCTAGAAGTCTATTCCTGGATCCCAGGAGGCAGACATATTTAAATTTCATCTCAGTGACAGAGTAGGACATTTGCAGGGCATTCCTGTGGTGTGTTGGAGTTCATATTGATGTATTGGCTGGGACTGAGTGTCTGTGTTTAGGGAGACCCATTGTCAGGACTGTAGACTACTGTAGCACTGGATGGGATGGGGGAGGGGTTAGCAGACTCATTGTTGTACCCTATGCTTTCTCTCCATCCCTCACTCTCTTTTTCTCTCCTTCTCCCACACATCCAGACACACTCTCTCAATCTCAGTTTTGCCTCTACACTGTTTTTTCCTCCTCATTCTCTCTCCTGCTTCACACTCTGTGTGTGTGGAGGCCTTGTCTGCACTCTTTGCCGTATCTCAGAAATGCTGGAATGTGACATTTTTGCCAAGGTATCGCACTGATCCACACAGCCAGTCAAAACAGTCTGAAATCCCTCTTCAAGGCGTGCTGAAATTTGACTCCCAAGTTTCTTTTTGAAACGATTAAAATGGTCTGCACTGATAATGCAGGAGTCAGCAAGACTAAGAGTGTGGAAATTGTGCACTCGTTCATGTCTCTCTTTCCAGCAGTAGAAAACTAAATATTGAAAAGAAAATGTTTTCTTTCATTGACAAATAAAGACCTTAATAACTGTGTACAGGCATTGGACAAAACAACTGTTTAGGTTTTATTAATTTTCCCCTTAGCATCCTCCAGTATCTGAATAATTAAAGATTTTACACAGTCCCATGATGCTGTGGGTTTGCATCTAACCACCTCAAAAGAAATCTAAGACACCAGTGCATTTGAGGTGAGTTTAGTTTAGACTTTCAAAGAAATACGGAAAAAGGTTTGCAGTTTATCCACATTCACCTTGAATTGTAAATGAATGTGGTCACACGATGCAGCTTTCTTGCATCCTCTCAAATGAGTGACCAGACCCGACATATCTGACGTAAATAAGTGAACCATTGACACCTCTTACATCCACCGCCAAGAATTTAATCTGGAGCTGTAACAATCTAACGTGTCCCTTTGTTCAGGTTTGTTCCTTTCATGTAGATGACGCATACAGTAACTTGAGCTCAATGTCTGGCAGTGATGAGCGAGTGAGTTGTGATCCCCAGAGGCCCTCACACGGCAGGCTTTTAGTGAAGCTGGTCAGCTCCCTGTCGGGCAAAAGGACGGAGGAGTTAGCTGTAAGCGAGATGCTGAGTCAGCACAGAGAGAGGGATGAATGAAGATGATGCAGAGTTGAGAATCGGGGGGAATACAGATCTGGAGAGATAAATGGGGTATAGGGTGGGTGCGTGGAAAACAAAAGTCACGGCTCATAAATACTTTAAGTGTTCAAACACGGCCACTGAGACACTCAAGTTCCTCTTTTAGGAATGGATAAAATATGGCATCGCTTCTGTTCCTCGGTCCTATTCATCTTTCTATTTCACTTGTGTGTCCTTGTCTGGATCTTTTTTTAACAATGAGTCAGTTTCACCCTCTTTTTCCTTTCTTTTTTCAGTAGGTATAGAGACTTAAGTGCCTATGTGAGCCACATAACTTGAGGATATCAATATTGTAAGCTGCGTTTATGGGCAGCAGGGCCTGATGGACTGTACTGTCTCAGGAGTGATTCAGCTACTAGCCTGACCTTACCAGACACTAGGGCTGCAACTAATGAGTTTTTTCTTTAGTGAGTAATCTGTTGATTATTTTCTCCATTAATTGTTTGGTCATTGAGATGTCAAAAGGTAGTTAAAACTGCCTTTAAACCAGCAAATATTTGGCCCTTTTTTGCTTTAAAAACTGACTAAAATGTTTATTTGATGGCCAAAATGGTTTCCAATTAATTGATGCATTTGCTGCAGCTCTACCAGACCCTCAGATTTTTTGTGTTTAAAATTAACATGGAGTGTCAGTTATGCCTAATTGTTTAGCTATGAGATTAATATGTTTTACAATGCAGGTTTTAGGATACATTAAATAAACCGAGCAAACACTCCACAGTCAGCGTTTACGGGTTAAATGTATTCACTGCAGCATCAATATGTTGTTATCTCTCTTTAAACAAAAAATAGCCTTGCAAATTCTTTCTGCAGGTGCTTCAAAGTAGAGTCGAATTGACTGCATCTTATTATCACTGGATTAGTGGTTAGGAGAAAAGCTCCAGGTGCCAATTGCAGTTTGGTCAAATCTCAGAGCTCAAATATAAAACACAAAGGTGTGATTTGTCATTTGTTGCCATCATCCTCTGTAATGTTAGTGGATCCGTAGGCTAGGGACATTTCTGTTATAATTCTGATGTAACTGGGCCAATATGGCAGTAAAATAGGCTAATGTAATCTGGCACTACACGAAACAAAGGCACATTTTGCCATTGCTGCGTACCACAAAATTCAGCGTTACAGCAGTTGCCTCATGCTTACCAGTTACACAGTGGCCACACAGATCAAAGTGAGTGTATATTTAGCAACACAGCTTGAGCAGGGATTTGAACTATCACAGGCCTTCATTCACTGTCAAATAAGTCAGAGAGCAGCCCACCAAAAATGTTATATTTGATCCCCTAATGGATTTATTAAAGCTGCGACCAACAATAATTTTTTTTATTAAGTCATCTGTTATCGTTTTGTTTTCGTGATTAATTGTTTAATCTTTTAAATGTCAAAAAGTAGTCAAAAATAAACATCAAAGAGCGTGAGGTGACCAACACCCTAAATATCTTCAATTTACAATTCCATAAAAGAGAGAAAATCCTCTCTATGTCCTTGGTGATCAGTGAATTAATGGTGTAATTGTTTCAGCTCTAGTAGTCTCCATCTTTGCACAGTTCCTCTCAGAGATGTTGCTGTGTGATCCTTGGACCCTTAAATCACTTAAAGCCTCCCTAGAATCCAGAGTAAACCCTGTACATGGTATGCGAATTAGCAAGCTAAGCCACCATACGTACCAACCTGAGTCTCCACAAAGACCCATTCATACTGGACAAAATATTTACAGGGTTTTTTTCTTCGGCATACCTCAGTCGCACTGATGTTTTTGGAGCTTGCAGTGTAAAGATGTAGTAGTGTCCCGTGAGACGCTGTTTTGTCTACATGCCCGCTGTTTTTAGTATTTGGGATGATACCTGGGATGTGACCATTTGGTCTTTCTTTTTTCCATCTTCTTTCCTCCCTCATTCCCTCCTCATCCCTTGTCAGACTGTAACCTGCAGGAGAAAACCTCCCCTTCTTCTCCATTTTTCTGGTTTAAGGTAGATAATAAGCGCAGCCTCTTCCACCTCTCATCCTTTATCTCCTCCTCTGTGTCTCTCTCCAAGTGAAGATGCCATCTGGTTGTGGGCGCCGTGCTTGTTGGGGTGCTGGGTGGAGGAGGGGAGGCCTCAGGGTTGTTTCCTTCCTGTACTGTTTCTTCTTTCTCCTGCTGTTTTTCCTCCTTCCCTCCCTTTAAATTAGGTCAGTATGAGAGAGTCATCATAGTGACCTCAAGCTCATGTTTCCTCTCCAGGTGATTTTTGTTTTCTGTGTTATTGCTTGGCCTTCGTCCCTGTATTTTTCCTCATCGCCCCCCATTCTCCCCCTTCTTGTTTGTGTAGTTACCTGGCGCTGCGCTTCCTTTGACTAAAATAGGGAAGAAACTGCAGGCTGACTCCCCCACTCTGGGCAGAGGAGTCTGGAGAATAATGTTTTAATGGATTTTTTTTTGGACTGTTCAGTTTTACCGCAGCACTGCCAAAACAAGCATTCCAGGAGCACAGCGCAGTGTGGGATGTGATCCTAATCAGAAACACAGTGGAAAACTCAGCTTTACCACTCGACAAAAATCCAGTCTACCTTCCCCCTACGAGTCATATCACCCACCAGCTTTTCTTTTCCGACTTCACCAAATCACAGTGGTGATAGACAAGACAGATGAGTAAGGGGGCTGTAGAGGGTCATATGACTGAAGTGTACAGATGTTGATAGTTGAAGGTCATTTGATTTTAACCATATTTCTTAAAAAGTGCAAATGAATGTGTGGTTTCATTAGCTGCTGTTATGGAGATGGTACAGAGAGGGCACAGCGAGGTTACATAAATGTCACAGCTGTTAACTCACAGTAGCCTTTGATACAGTAAGTTAAATATGACATGTGTTAAGTTTCTGAGACTTTTTTCTGACTTCAGCCAAGCACCATACTTCACAGCATTTGTGTGACACAGTTTCAACTGAAAAGTCCACTTACTAGGTTTCTTGAGCTTTCCACTGCACGTCTCCACCAGTGAATGGAGCTGGATCGGGTGCCATCACTTTTCCATTGGCTCTTTTTAAAGTCAAAATCATACCCATGTGATCTGTGTTACTGTCACCAGTTTCGATGCACCAAGTTGCCAATGAGATGCACCGTTGGCGGAGTCGGGCCGAAGCGCGCGTGACTGCCTACAGGCAGGTTGCTGTAACATCAAATGGGCATCATCGTCATTATTCATAACACAAATAAAGAAACCACCAGAGTAGCGATGCATATTTAATATGCATGCAATGCATGCGTGGACTCCGTGAATCAATCAGTCTGTAGACCCATGTTATTTAATCATCACCAGGTCGTAGAAACACCATTGATTGACAGCTTCTTAAATCTGCAGAGTTGCTTGATAGAAAATAAAATACTATGATATGCTATCACGGGAAATGTCTTTCAGAATTAAGGAGCAATTATGTTATTTTACACACTGCTTTTTTGGTAATACCCATCTCTGTATTTTTGTATTTTCAGTTTTCTCATGTGACTCTCAAGTGGCTCAGTGCAGATTAGTTCCTGTCTGTCAGTCTCTGTTGGCTCAGTCAGATATCAGAGATTTGGGGACTCAAAACAGTTTCAAAAAACCGCTGGCAGATTTACTGGCCTGCATCTTTTAAAAGGAGAGATGAGAGAGACTTTGATTCCTCGAACATGACAAAATTACCCCTCACAGTCTCGGCTCTCTGCTGAGTCAGCAACCCTCAGGAGACAGTTTGATTCAGCAATTTTTTTTATCCATTCAGGATGCCAAGATCAGATTTAAAGTTTTGTTTAAACATCTGCAGTGAGAGCTGGATTTAATCCACAGCACATGTGTCTCTCTTCATCACAGCTGCCACTGTGGTTTATGTGTAAGCTGACAGTGAAACTGGTTGAAATGTACTCAGTTCTGACATTAGGAATAATGGAAGCTACATACCTGAAGTCATGTATACAATGGTCTACTCTAACCTTTGCATCTGTCTTACTGTTTTGTAGGTGGCGTTGTTGGGGATAGACATCTGTGGTGCGTTTGTGGACCGCATGGGAGAGCGGTTTAAAGGATATCTTGGCACAGGTGAGATACCTCCCCACCCTGACTTTCCTTGAGGTTATATGCTGTATTTACAATGAAACTCAATAACAGCATGTTTTTATTTGTTCTTAATTAGCGTGCACACAAAGAACCTAAAGGACATGTTTTTCTTTTTGGTTCTGGAATGCTCAAGTAAAAGCAACTTTATGGTACACTGAAGGTCACTGTAATGGCACACACTGTTCAGTTCATACCTTGATTTGGGAGTTACCGTTTGGTGCGAGTTTGGTACAGTGGGGAAAAACAAATACATAAGGATGCGTTTGTTTTAATTTATTTTGAAGTGACAGTAGTGCACCTGTCAAAGTCAGACAAAATCTCTTGCTGAGGACTGTTAACATGTTGCCCACTGGCACCTTAAGTAGGCTTATACCATTTTCATTTATAAAACAAAAAGGACATTTCTGTATTACATGGGTACGTATGCCTTGAACCCACACTGTCTTTGGTCAAAGTGCTTTTAAAGTTTTTGCACCTTCATCTCGGTGTGAGTTCTTTCATGTGAAACTTTTCATGCTGCTGCCTTGGCCAGGACTCCCCTGTAAAAAATTTTTTTGAATCTCAGAGGAAATATTCCTGACAAAATAAAGGTTAAATAAAAAATGAGAATAAAAAAATATACTTTACAAACACTCTCCCAAAAGGCAACAGGTCACAACAGGCTGTATAACTGAAAGGCATCTCTTATGCTTGGAAACTGAAAATAAAATAAATGTAATAATAAAAGTAAAGCTTGTGCATCAGGAGGAGTGTTTGAATCTGTCCAATTTTGGTTATATGCCAGTGTAAATGCCAGTTGTTTCAGTATTTGTTTAATCCTGTTGGTTTAATCCTGTTGTGATAAGGAGTTGAGCTTGAATTGTTTTTCCTTGTGTTGATGATCAGCACATCTGGGTGATGCTGTTGAGTGTGCCTTAGCATGTTGGATGTATTTCCATTCAGGTACTCAACAATGCTGGAGCAACACTGTTACGCCGACACACCCTTGTATACACATCTCTCTATGCTGTTACCAGGATCCTGCATGCAGGTCTCCAGTTCTGACATTTTATTTGCGCCCACCGTGACTGACTCACACGCCAATTAACTTCTTGTGCTAACCTCAGCATATGTGGCTAATGACTTATAGCTAAAAGTTTCCGGGCAAAACTTGCTTGTGAACTTCTGTTCCACGAGAAGTGCATCAATCCACGTACAGTGTTTAACGTGAGGCTGTGTGCACTGAACAGTTACCTCCGTAATGTGATGGTTTGGCACTATTTTACAAACCATTAAAGTGCAGTGGTGCACTTATGGCAATTTCCTCATCCATGAAAAAGAAAACAGATCTGTACCTGTACAAATCCCACATTACATAGCCAGCATACACACATACACACGCTGTTATAATTTAGTTTGTCATTCATTGTGAAACAGATTATGAGACTAGTCTTTTTTGTTGAGTTCATTAGGCTCAAATGTAAATGTTTATCTCTCCATCATCTTAAGCAGCAAGGCTAACAAAAGGCAGCTAGTCACCACTATTTCCCCAACTATACTCAACAACACTTCTCTACACTGTTGCTTGAATAGTGATGGTTTGTGTATTGTTGTATGGCCTCTTCAGCATTTTGACCTTCCATTTTGTCTCTCGCTTCCACTTTGTGGTTCCTCTGAGACAGACCAGCAGCACTGCTCTAAAGCCTGGCACCACCCCCTCTCTACTATGCATCCTTTGCTCTCTATATTTAGGCTCTGAATTGTCTGCCATGCTGTAGCTCAGTCTATTACACCCCAAAACCACACCTCACATTCATATGACCTCATACGCTGAATCTTGTATCAGATTTCATACTCTGTGAGTGTGTGTGTGTGTGTGTATGTATGTGTGTTTGTTATGTCAGTGCCAGCCCTTGTGTGTGCCCGCTGAAGGTGTCACCAGCTGTCTTTGTCAGCCAGACTGGCTCTTGTCACCAACAAACACACTCAGTCCTGCAGTGCGGCTCTGGGATGACTGGACCTGTCACACTGTGCAAAGTCTGCCACCACACACTCATACACACACAGACACATACACAGAAAAACACACACTCTGTATCTTGCTCACTGTCTAGGACAGTGCCTTAGCCTGGATCTGTGTGTGTGAAATAGAAGTGTGTGTTTCAGATTGATGGTAAAAGCATCTCTGAGCCACCACTGCCTCTGGAATCTCCCTCTCCCCATCTGACTTCCATCTCTCCTTTCCTGTGCTCTCTCTCCTTCCCCCTGCACCAACCCACCCTCCTCCCACACATATACACACACACACACACACTCAAAGGGGAGGAAGATGAGATCATTGAGACTGAGCGATTGTATTGATCTACAGTACTGACTCAGGGTTGCTGCCATCATACCGCACTAATGCAATGCCCGTTTAAAACATGGCTTGGAACAGGCTGATTGCTTGGCCTGTTCTCAAAAGCTGCTGATAAAAACAAAAATTTGAGTACTACATCTACTAATGCCACTACCAACATTCACAGTTAGACAAAGGGACAAATCAGTGTTTGCCTCTGGCCACCAAATCACTAAATTGATCCCCTGAAAAATACAATCAAGTCACAGCAACTTGTCAGAAGAATATTAATCTCTAAATAGCTGAATCAATCACTTGGTTTCACATCACCGCTGCGGTTATATTAGGGCATGGATCTGCACAGTTTGAGTTGCAATTGCAGTGTGGCACTGTTCCTGTCGACTCATTGACTTCAGGAAAGTGAAGAAGAGTTTGGTCACAACATCAGTATATCCAGCATCCACCAGCAAAAGTGAACTGTGAGCCTGTAAAGGCCCGCTGCAGACAACATGCTCGACTCAGTCCGCACCACTGCGGTTTTGAGGTAGAGCATGGATTTCATTAGCAGAGGTATTTGACTGTTGGTAACTATATTAGTTGTATAAGTTAGAAAAAGAGATGTACCTAAGCTGCGGTTAGAAAGATGCAAAAAAATACATAAGTAAAATACATTTGACACTCTGCAGAGCTACTGCCAATGGTGCTGTTCATTTGTTTATTCAAAGTTTATCGATACTGAACGTATTGTATTTCGAAATTGCGCTGAATTCAATACTGCACTTCCTTCCTCTCCAGCAGTGCACCTGTCAACTGAAATAAATCGGATGATTTGAGATACGTGAAGGACAGACATAGACAGACAGAAATTCTTTGCTTTATAGTTAGATATGTGTGTGCGCACATTTGTGTATGCACTTTAACAGTGTGTTTTTGACCATTGTGCAAAGTGACTTCCAGATGTGAATTGAAAATGGAAGTGAAACATTCAGCCTGTGCATAGACTTTATAATACAATACTTTGCAATACTGTAACATTAATAATACGGTATAATGATACAATAATAATGGTTTGCATGGTGACAGATAAAATAAAGTGATGTGATTGGCCCGGCAGCTGTGCCCCAGTGTGATCGCTCTGTTAACATCTTTGAAACAAAATGAGTCAATATACCACATACAAGCAAAGTGTGTGTGTTTGTGTGTTTTCATGCTTACTACAGACGATGACGTCGTGTGCAACAGTGTCCCCTCTGTCATTTTTTCTGTTTGAGGGTATTGTCCTCATTGCCAAGGCAACCAGCTGTTATGGTAACATTATGTACGCACACACACAAAGCACGGGAAAAGGACAGATGACATCACTCCCCATGCTGAAGTTTGAGGTTAGGAATGTGGGTAGGAGTGTGTGTGTGTGTGTGCTCACACCATTCTGTGTGTGTTTGATATTATCTCACTGACTGAATGTCAAAGGGAGGTTTAGAGTTTTATGTAACTCCATCTGATTGTCAAACAAAGAAAGATCCACCAGATTTGGCATTTTGTCTGAACTGGGTAGTGGAATTTGTCAAACCATTTAAACCATTATATATTGGGGATTTTTGACTTTGTGAGTTAAAGAATAAGACTGGAGATGCTTTTGTTTATCTCATGAAAAGACCAAAACCGCAGCTCCACCTCTCAGTACTTTCTGACTTCCCTATCATGTTTGTGGCGCTCATCCAGAAGCCCATTGGTTCCTCCTGAACATGTCAATTAAATTAAAATCATTTCTTAAAATAGCCCAAAACTGTAGTTTTTAACAAACATTACTCAACAAGAAGTAGTAGTTCATTTGTTGTGGACTCTTTTCAGCTGCGAATTGTGCATGCTAGTGAGCATTTATGAAAGCAGCACCATGTACACATGTTCATCACAATGAAGAAACACGTCAGCCAGTGCAATATTTTGGCTCATTGATGCATTTTTAACAGCAATTGCACAGAAGAATAAGATAAATCACGCTTTGGATAACCAGAAAATTGTTTAAGTTGGTCTCTTCACAGGTTGTGTTGATACTAAGAAAAACATTTAATGTCTGGTGACATGTTCTCTTCAGTAAAGATTAGTTATTCATATTGCCACCTACAAAGGGTCCTCAGTTAAAATGCTGTCAAATAGCTGCTCCTCTTATATTAAAGCTGAAAATACACTTAAAGCCGAGGGCCCTCCTGCTAACTCTCTCACATTTCACAGAGGATTGGAGTAACCATCTGAAACATTTGTGCAGTTGCCAAAATCCTCACAGTTCACTTGAATGCCACCATTTAAAGGCTCTTACTTTTATTCCTGTACAGGGTGCGTCGCTGCATTACATAGGCCGTGCTACTGGAGCAGTTGTGTGTGTTAGATGGAGTGGAACTGACGCGAGAGCATTTGATGATCCTGACGTTATTTTAGTCACGGTCCATTTCTCATTTCCTGTCCTCTCTTTCCCCTCGTCTAATCGGAGCCTTGGTGTCGATGGTGGCATTGCATAAGCTTTATATTGCAATGTTTATGTGTCTTTCTCGCTCACGCACCCACAGATTGTAACTAATGATAATCAGACATCTTTGTGTATTTGTTTTTTAACAGCACTCCACTGGGGGGCACTCTTTATTGCCTTTGGTCTTTGAATCCAGCAGAGACTCAGTGTCATGTGTGGCCTCATTTCTCCTGTACTTGATGTAAATACTGCACATTAAACTGCATTTTTCATACAGTGACTCTCATCACTAACCCGCCCTCTCTGTCTCGCTCTCTCCCTTCATCCATCTCTTTCACTGACTGTAGTTTTGCCAGCTTTGGTGGACAGGCTGGGCGATGGGAAGGACCAGGTCAGGGAGAACAGCCAAGCCCTCATCCTTCGCTGTATGGAGCAGACTGCCTCGCCCATGGTGAGAAAAACACACACACACACACACATACACACACAGACATGCATACAAATACTAGCCTCAGGACCAGACATTTCTCTTGTAATATACGTCACTTAAATAGTGATTAAAACCAGGATATCCGCCAATTGAGAAATTGATTTCAACCACCATATGTGACGTGACAGACATCACACAAAGATCATTTAGACGTTAATCCCCAGTACCCGGTCCACTTGGAAAGGTGGTCTCAAGTACAGTTTATGTGTACTCCAGTGTACACATCAGGTGTGAACAGCAACTGTACCAAACACAGACTGCTGTTTTATGTGACTACGAGGAGTTTTTTACCTGTTACGAAACAGGCTCAATTTAATACTGATGCCACTAAATCAGATGGCAGCACACACAGACCCAGATCGAGCTTTGCTGCCACCTGCTGTCGTAGATCCAGCGGGAGGCTCCGCGCAAGCCAGCAGCGGCTCGTCTTCTGGCCAGGAGCAGAGCTTCACCTCGCTGCTTGGCTGGTTCCCACTGATGATGCTCTGTGGGGCAGTAGTATTCGTCTGCGGTGCCATTTTCTACACTGTAGCGAGGAAATGTCACATAGATGATGACGCAAATGTGCTCAGGTACAAAACAACATTACTAATGTGAAAGCTGAGGAGTGGGAAAGTGGATAATTGGGGGACAATCGTACACAGGCATGGTGCAAATCAATCGTATGTAAAATCAAAATGACGTTAAGATTTGGGATATCATTAATACTTTAAATGTCCTGGTTTTAAAGGGTGTTTTACAGTTAAGTCATGCAATTTCTTGTGTCCATAACGCCCTGTCCTAGTATCAGGAATTCTGTTATTTTTAAGTTCAGGAACTGACTGTAGATGAGATGAAAGGTTGCACTGTGAAAAACTGTGTTGTATCGTGTGTTTTGTGTGCTGATAAAAGAGTCAGCCGACAGCAGCCCTCAGATCAATTGTAGTTTTTCCAGTCTGTTTCAAGAATGCACAATCAAGATGCAGAACAGGAACAGCAGACAAATCACAGCCACCTCCACATCAATAGGTAGCCACTACAGCTGAAAAGTAGTCCATGTTTTGGGCTCCCTCACCTGGGTATTAAAGGAATTACACAGGCTACATCTTCCTCTGCTTTATGTCATCTACACACAGTACACATGCACATCTTCACAGATTGTAACCTCCCCTGTGCTCTGTAATCTGCTCGAACCCCCGATGAGCTGCCTGGTATAACCTTCCTCGGCTGGTTCCTCCTAATACTGTCTTTCTGTCTCTCTCCCTCATCCCTCCCTTTTCTCTCTCGCCCTCTCCTTCATCCAGTACGTTTGGGAAAGGCTACTTCCTGGTTTCAAACACAAGAACTTCCGCAGTCGAGAAGGAATCTGCCTCTGTCTCAGTGCCACGCTCGCCTCGTGAGTAACTTCCCCTCTTCAGCTGTTATCACTTCCAGGGTGAAATAATACAGTGTGAATTGTAAAGCTGTTAAATGTCTGCACATTTTTCTCATCCTGTGGGCAGAAGGTCATACAGTAGTCTTTAAAATAAATTCAAAATGTAAAGATAGAGTATATTAAATCCTACTTACTATAAACCAACTAACTGACCTTTTAAATATATAAAGAATATTTTTTTGTGACCTAGATTCTACAATCTTAATCCTGCTCTGACACCCTATATCTTTAATGTGAGTTAATTTGTGCACTGCACACTGAGGAGTCAACACTACTCTCGATTTGTTTTATTCAAGAAATGCAGTCTCCAGGATTAATCTTCTTAACTGTGTGTGTGACGCTATGGAGGTGCCACACGTGCTGCAAATGGCACCGCCGCTTTTGTCATGTGATCTTAACCTTAAAACACACATGCTGGCTACAAGTTGCTTTCAGAGAGATTTAAAAGTCTGTTCTTAGTTCACCCCGGCCTGAACTCTCACATGCCCGGCTGTCAGGCTTGATGGAAGACTTGCTTTTCAACATTTAATTTGAATTGGACTGTATCTTACTACTATGTTCCAAAGAAAATACTGCAGCCCATTTAAGCCTCATTTCCGCTGCATGTTACCAGCACGGCTTTTTTTTTTTTTTTCATTGGTGACATTTGTAGATACCACCTTGGTCAAGATTCAAAGTGAGCTCAGCTGTTAAGACACAGTGGACCACTGATTGGTCAGAGAGTTTGTCACCAGCAGACCTTTTTTTTTCCATTCACTTGACCCAGATTTATTAAAATGGCGACCTCCAAATTCATGCTCTGGTCAGTTGACAAAGTGCAGACGTTCCTCTGTTTGGTTGTGAATGAAAGGATCCAGCGAGAGCTTGATGAATCTGGGTAGAACCAGTGTTTGTGTCGTGATCAAGATGATTTTACAGCAATTTTACTCGACATCGCTACGACAAACAGACAATTTCCCTACATGAACGGGGTACTATCTGCAGTAGAAAACAAAATCAAATCAAAAGTGAGCGGAGTAGTCAAGTAGAGTCAAGTTGAGTCAAAACATGCAGTGGAAATGAGGTATTAGTGATGTTTTTCCAGAAGCCACAGGAGGTCAAAGAGATCTCATCTGGGAAAAGAAAAGAAAAGAGATCAATTGAAATTGGCTTGTTGGTTAAGCCAGATTTTTTTCCAGATGTTTTCTATACGCATTTTTCTTCGTCTTCTGTTGATTTCTAAACGTATTACTTTCTTCTTGTTTTCTCCAGTTAGTTATGAGAGTATTTCTGCTCTTGTGCAGTTTGTAGTTAAGTTTTGTTTTCTACCTTTAGGTTACTAAACGGGGCAGATCTGGGCTGTTCGAGTGGCAGTGCTAATTTTAGCATCTTTTTGCTAATGGAAAGTGACACTGTTGTGCTAAATGCTAAGCTGCTACCTGATAGTAAAGCTAAGTGTTCACTCAGCGTCCATTAAGCCTGAGCAGACTGATTTAAAACACAGCACAGGAATGATCTATTTTTTGGGTTTTGGAATGTTTATAATTCACAGTCTCCCTCGTAAGAGGAGAAGTGCTCTCCTCATTCTTCAATATGTAATATGAATGATGGGCAATGTTTTCATTAGACAGAAAATATTTTATACTTGCTTTACCTTGTCATGAATAGATATCATCCCTCTCATTTCCTCATGTCCTTGTGGCTCTTTTTCAGGTATGGAGCCCAGCCGTTGAGCCTCAGTAAACTAGTCCCTCATCTCTGCACTTTGACTGGAGACCAGAACCCACAGGTAAGAGACACGGAGCTTTAGGAATTTGATACTTGATCAACAAGCCTTCATGTCTGTGTATACTGTAATTTCTGTGTGTGTGAGTAGGGCTGTGTATTGGCAAGTCTCTGGTGATCCAATACGTATCAAAATACACGGGTTAAGATTCAGTATATTGTGGTATATTGCAACACTGTAAGCAAGGCTGTATATTGTGGGTTTCATAGGTCTGTTTTGTTTTTATGCAAGCAATATGTCTTCATGTTGGAGTGGTAGAGCATGGTTGAAGATAGATTACAGCCATAGAAACAGAACGAATATGAAGGACATTGAGTGGTTTGTCAAGGCCATCTGACTTGTACAGAAGAAAATGATTTATGTTAGTTGTCAGACGTCAGTGGGGCTGTAAAGTGTGTTCCACTCACTAGTTTGAGAATGCTGTACTGGCTTATTCTCTATTTTCCTAATTAAACGAAAAATTATACAATCTTACTCTAATCCATGTTTCTCTTTCACGGAAATATGGTTGACGTTATCTTAATAACCGTGTTCACTCATCTTAAAACACACTTCATTCAAAACATTGTTAGTTAGTCTTGTTAGTTGTTTAGTTCTATGTTTCTCAGCTCTCCACTGAGCTGCGGCTGTCATTGTTCTTCTGAGGCAGCTACAATGCATCATGTTTCAGCAAACATTAAATTTGTGGCACCAACAGAAACAGGGAAATAACAGTTTTGATTTCTTATTTGAAAACATATTACGTCACTGCTCACTTACTCGTTACTGCAAAACCTTGCCTTAGTGAGTCGGTTTGTTTATATGGGTGTTTCTGCGGCAGTTGCAGTGGCAGTGGGACACATAAAAATGGCCATCGCTGTGACCATACGGCTGATCTGCGATGATTTAAATGGGAATGTCCGTTCTACTCATTCTATTTCTGTGATTATAACTCTGCTAGTTAGCAGTCATGGGTTTAAACACAACACAAATGAACCACTGCCTCAGATCTTTGAGATACTGTCTTACACCTTGAGTTGGGCACTGAATGTGGTGATTTTTAAGGGTACCAACCGAATTGCGTTGGTATTACTAAGTACTGATTCATCCATTTCAGGACACTTTGCCACAGAGACAACAGAGCTCCACAGAGCCTGCGCCATTTAGAAAGAAGGCAAAAGCGGTGCAAAGTGCCCTGAAGCTGGGAACCTGACCATGGAGCTCTGTTGGCTTCCCAGCAAGCAGAAACTAGCACTGTATCACTGATAGTTTTTAGTCTATCTGGTCTGTTTTCTTGTCTATTCCATTGTGAAATAGGCGGGTATCACAGTTGTTTGTGATTGTGTTTTTTGAAGGATGTAGCCTACTTATTCCGCATATTTGTCAGTTGTGTCTAAACAGAGAGCAAGAGAGACGAGCAGATACATATACACAAACATATACACACACAAACACACCCAAGCAGACAGAGAGATATACTCTGTGTGCTTGGAAAAGAGCAGGGAAGCAGAGAGAGTTTGAGTTACCAGCACTGTTGCCAGTATCGGTTCAAATGTGAACTGTATCCAACCCTACTTAAACCCCTCTGTGTGAGTGGGTAGAGGTCCTGAGTGTCTTTCCTGTATCACTCCGTAGCTAAGCTTGTGGTTTAGCTCTCAGCATCCAGAGTGTGTTGGCAGGCATCTTAAGGCAGCTCTGTGATTATTACTGTTATTAGTGAGGAGATGGGCTCTGTAAAGTCCCCCCCACCCCACCCTACCCACCCACCTCCAGCCTCACTGCTGAATCATGAGCACCAACACCCAACCATTAACACACACAACAGTACTGGCTGAGTATGTGTGTGTGTTAGAGAGAGAGGGATAGAGAGAGGTTGGTTATAAGCTCCTGTGGAGTTGCACCCCAAAGCTGAAATCTGCTCCTATCGTCTACCCAATGATTATCTACCCACATACTGTCCCGACCAATCAAAATCCTCAGCATGCCCGCCCACCCTCAGCTGCAGAGAATCCCTTTAACAGCATCCCACTACCAATCGCAACAGTGCTCACAACATTATGAGCAAATCAGATGTCTCCCATTAGGGGGATAAGTGCGGGCCCTTAAGGGTTTCTTCTTTAATGTGTTTACAATCACAACTCTTAGTGTGTAACCCCAGACAGTTGAGTGTAATCTGTATGGATTTATTAATAAATTTGACAAACTATTTTACATGGTATATCAGTGCAAGTGTAGCCTTTTGTGTGTGAGCGTGTGTGTAGGAATTTTTAACTGGTTAATGTTTGCTGTCTGCAGGTACGTGAGGCCTCCATAACAACACTGGTGGATGTTTATCGTCACGTTGGAGAGAGGGTCCGGGCAGACCTAGGAAAGAGAGGGCTCCCTGCTGCACGGTAAGTTAATTTCCATGTGTCAGATGTTGATGAGCTCTCTTTGTGAGCGCTTGTATTTTTATTTTTGTGTGTGTGTGTGTGTGTGTGTGTGTGTGTGTGTGTGTGTGTGTGTGTGTGTGTGCGCGCGTGCGTGTGCCTGCTCTGCACAGCAGGGGATGAGTTGTGTGGTCGGTCTGTGGGTCCCATGGCCTTGGCACTCAGTCTGTCCCAGGCCACACCATGCACCACTCTGCCCTTCATACACACAGAGAGGCACTTTCATCCAGAGCACAATGCTGACTGACAGGGGGAGGAGGGTGGGAGGGGGCAGATGGGGTACAAAGGCGTTGGGTGGAGAAACATAGTCGAGGAAAAATCGGAGAAAGTGTGTCTGTGTGTTCGTGTCATCTGAAGACATCCGTCAAGTGGTTTCGTCCCTCTTTGGTCGTCCTGGTTACATGTGCTGGGTTGAGGGTTATTCTGAGCACACACAGTGACCCCCCCTCCCCTCTGTCTCCAGTGTGTGAGATCAGCAGCCAGCGTTGTGTGCTGACTGCTCAGTATGAGTCTTGCGTCTGTGAATGCTGGCCATGACCATGTGTCATGTGTTGCGCATATTAAGCCTGTTCGTCTCCGCTGTAAACACACTGTCTGTGTATGTGGGATTTATGCAGACTGGCATGTGTCTGTTATGTGTAGAGGTCTGACAGATGCAGTGATTTACGTCTGACCTCTTTTGTCCAATGCTTATTCTTCTTCTATTGATGTAGTGTAGAAATATTATGAATTCTTCAAAATATGCACACATTTTTTCATGAATCAGGGTAAGCATAAATATATGTTTTGTTGCAGTGTTCACTATTAATATTGGAGCACTGCTGGTGTGAAGGCGAGGTAGAGGTTGTGTGTGAGGGTTAGTATATGGTTGCCGGGTGGAATGCAGGGCTGCGGCCAGGGTCTTGCTGACCAGATCACATATCAACTCTCGAGAGGGGGTGTTGTGACAGAAAAACGGAGTGTAGAAGGTCGAGAATAAGAGGTGAAAAGGTGGAGAGAGCATTACAGAAAGCAGAATGAGAGGAGTTGACTAGAGGACTGCCTTTTATGATATTCTTTAAACACTCAGGAATTGTGTTTGACTAATGTTTCTAACACAGGGTTAGCCTGCATAAAATCTTTGACATGTCTGGATTATAGCAGCTTGTGACACAGGCACTAACAATTATTCTCCAAGGGACATTTTGAGTAATAGTCTCTCTCGAACACTCCCTCCCCCCTTTTAGGGCTCCCAACTAACTTCTTACATTGGTTGCACACATGGGTGCACCGATGCCTTGTGGCACCATGGTAATACCTTTTTTAAAGCGTTACCTGTTTTGTCAGTTACCGTACAAGTTGGTAATTTCTTAACAAGGATTGTAACGGTACACAGAACCTCTGTGTAGGAGTCAAGGTTCAGAGTGAGTTCAGTAGAGCAGGAAAAAAAACAAATGTAAAAAACAAGGATGTTTGTTTCCATTTATTTTGAACAGACCAAAGACAGGCACAGTCCTCCTGCTGGGGACTAAGGTAGCAGTTTGCCCACTGACAACTTTGGTAAACTATTTTTTTGTTATAAAAATAAGGAACATTTGAACACGTCTGTATTACACTGTACAAATGCTCAACAGGTCAAAACACTGTACAAATGCTCAACAGGTCAAAACAGGCTGTAACATTAAAAGCATCTCTTATGATATGAAACTGAAAATACGAAATACATAGAACAATAAAAAATAAAACTTGTGCATTAGGACGAGTGTCTCAATTCTGCCAGAGTGTGACTGAGCATAGACCTACAGCTCAAAGTGTTTTGAGCAGAGGTTCGTAGTCCACACTGACTCTGAGACATGCTCATGTAACCCTGGAACCCTTCCTGTTTTTTTACCCTGTAGATGTGAGCTTGCTGGCTTCACTACCTGGAATATTCTGGCATAGTACGTATGTAAAAATTAGACCAATGTCCTCCTCTGAAGCCAACACAAAAACTATTGTTGTTGAGAACATTTTGACTGTCAATCAGCCAGCTGAAAACAGCTTGGTCAGCCGCTGTCCTCTCAGTGCTGCTGACAGACAGACGGCTGGTACTGACAGCAGAGATGGCCGAAGAGAGGTCAAAGTGAATAAGGAGTAGCACTCACGGGCTGCTCACATCTCACTTTTAATGTGGATCCCCAGTGAGACTTTTACATTTTAATTTTAATTTGTTAAACACAAGCAAAGCATTGTTAAAGTGAAATACTGTTAATGAGTCAAATTAAAGGAGCAGAAGACATGTAAGCAGTTTTAAAGATGTTCTCTCCTTTCAGCATCTACAGTATGTGCAGGCTGCTCTGTCTGGAGGCTCCTGCGATTCACAGCCGAGCAGTGAAAGTTAAAATATGTGGTTTACAAACTGTGTCAGTTTAATGACAAGAACTACTATTACCCCGAATTAGGTTAGTCCCTAAAGGGGTGCCTGGATGTTCAGAACAGGATCGGAAAATAGTTTCATTTCATCATTCAGGTCAGTTAATCTGGTCAGAGCTCAGCACAACGCTGTGTACTGTTTGTTAGTCAGTGTCGGATGAGATCACTCATCCTACAGTGAACCTGGTAACCCCTTTCACATCGACAGTGACACGGGTTAAACCTGCTCTGGCTGTCAGTCTGAATGGGTCAGCAGGAATCATCTGACCCGTCTGTTTGACCCAGCTCGTCCTGTCCCGCATTGAATGTGGGTCAGACACTACCTGGATTTCTGTGTGTGTTTTATCAGTCAGCACTGCTATTGAATTTTAAACATTTTAATGATTCTACAGGGTTCCCATGGGTCCTTGAAATCCTTGAAAGTTGAAGTGAAACAGAAATAAATAGATGTGGGTCATTAAAAGTCCTTGAATTTATATATTTGTGCAAGAATAGTAAATAGGCTATGTTTCTGTTTGCATGTGTGTCTCTGCAGTTGCATCATTGTTTGATATACCACCTGCCTGGGGAGCACGATGGTCACATGCGTGCATGAGTGATTGAAGTCAAATGATGCAGGTTAAACAGCGGCAAGTGAGCAAGAAAGCTAAGGTCGACGAACCCTTATCTCTGCCTGGACAATGTAATACAAGTTCATGTCATGGGCTGAGCAGCTTTGATGAGCTATGATGCTGGAGCATCACACAGGGCAACACTCTGCAAGTTGACCTTAATTACCCTTGATCCATGTCTCAAACTATGCTGTGTTGGTCCTTGAATTTGAGGAAATTGGGCCTGGAAAGTCCTTTAAAAGTCTTTGAATTTGATGTTAAAGAATGTGTGGCGACCCTGATTCTAAACTGACTAAAACCTAATTTTGAAGCAGTATATCTCTGATGTCCTTTTAGGGTGTGTATTTCTAAGGCCTAACAGTGATTTGTATGGACGTACTGTTATAGACTATAGACTAGCTATTAGTAGGTCAGATGCCGGTTGAATGAGCGTTCATTGGACCTGTCTCGTGCACACATATCTTGTTCGAAAGAGAAATTAGCTACCTGGAAGGTCACCTCGCTGGAGTTGAAGTGACCCCTTTTTCAATGACAGTCTGCGTCCACCACAGATTTAGAGCTCAGTGTAAAAGGTGCAGCAGTGTGAGGACTGGATCCTGGAATTAAGAGTTGTGATGAGGGAGGTGGGAATGAAAAGAGATGGGAGGGAATATAGGCAAGTGGGGTGAGAAGGAGAGACATAGAGGGGGGAGGAGCAGCCTTGCTTTCTGTCTGCTGCTAGCTGTAAAGCCCCTCCCCCTCTGACGAGTGTGTATGTGTGTGTGTGTGTCTGGATCTGGGAGGGAGGTTATGTAAAGGGTAACTGAATCTCTTCGCTGTCACACAAACAGGCCCACTTGTCTCTCTCTCACACACACACACACATGCACACATAGACCCTGCCTGAGATTTAACGCTTTGTAACACTGTGTAGATTTCTTAGTGGGTGTGTGTGCTCAGCGTACAGTACATATGTGCGACAGTAGGTGGTGCTTTGTCGTATGCCTGTAGCATGCTTTGGTCTTTCGCTGTTTGGCTCCTTCTCTCTCTCTCACGCCCTCCCTCCCTCCTTCCTCCCTCCCTCCTTCCTTCACGGAGCCACTGCACCATGTTGGATACAAAGAGCTGAGGGAAGCTGAGGACCAGAGCGTGTCACTAGCATGGGAGCTAATGTAATGTTGCGCAGCAACGCAGCAACCTATTAATCAGTCCACTGGGAAATACTGAGGCAAACGAGTATAGAGGACTAAAGGCTGGGATATTTCTGAGCCTAATAGGCAAACTAAAATGCAAATGAAAGGAGGGGAACCACGTGAAAACGCTGCACGGCGGAGGAGCCCATTGCAACACTAGTCGTCACTTTACAGGAGCTGCTAAGCTGCCTTGTAGTTGTGGACCAGCACCCAGACACCAAAAGATAAACATAGACAGACAGAGGACGGTGTGTATGACTCTTATTCTTGTGTGCTCACATTCATGGCTAACCTTTGGCAAGGAGGTATCAGGGCATGTTACTGGACATGGGTCATTGTGTCTTTGTTGTGTTATTGTCATAGCAGTCATGTGTAACCAATATGTATCCACACCGCTTAGTGTACAGAAGATGTTTGAGGCTATTATTTGTACAGAGATGTTATTTTTGCCGGACTTGTCTGTGATTGGAATAGATCTTTGCGTTATTAAGATGCAGACAGTCTTACCTTCACATCATGTGACTGAGAGATCTGGCTTTGGATTGTGTGTGTTTTTGTGTGTTTGGTGCTGGATGCAGGACGTCAGATTGACTCTTGTCGTGTTGCAGCTGCAGCTTCATGAGTGTGACTGGCATAATAGACACACCCACCCGCCGACAGGCAGACAGACAGACGGGCGGGCAGACTGTCCACATGTTGCTGCTGTTGATACTTTCACTTGGGATTCAAAGCACCTTGCCTGTCTCTAGGTCAAAACTGTGGGCTGTATGTATGTGCGTGTGTGTGTGTGTGTGTGTGTGTGTGTGTGTGTGCAGCCATCTGTGTGTGCATTTTCTTTGTCATGATTCTGTTTTAGCCACAACAATCAATCAGTGGCGAACTATTAACTTAATCGCCAACTAATTTGATAATCTATTAATCAATTTTGGTATTTTTCAATTAAAAGATGTAAAAATGATCTGATTCCAGCTTCTTAAATGTAAACATTTCTTGGTTTCTTAACTTGTAAATGGAATACCTGTAGGTTGTGAACAAAACAAGATATTTGAGAACGTCGTCTTGGGCTTTGGGAAACACTGACCAACATTTCTCGCCATTTTCTGACACTTTATAGACCAAACAACTGATCTATTAAATAATAAACAGATTAATGGACAATGAAAATGGTTGTTAGCTGCAGCCCTAGATCCTGTCAAGGAGGATCACTGCATATAGTTTTCCTAATTCAGTCTCATTTTGCTGTTTCCAATTCTGCATTTCTGGTTATTTCATTAGCTTTGTTGTGTATGATGTGTTCTAACATTTCCTCTCTCTCTGTCCCTCCAGGTTACAGACGTTATTCGCTCGTTTTGATGAAGCCTTGAATTCAGGCAACATGGCTCTCAGCCCGAGTCACGGTCAGTGCCTCCTCTCATTTATATTGCCACAGATGTACTGGTCTCTTAGAGCCACCAAGTTTAGCCATGTTGTTGAGATGATTTTACTGTTGTCAGGTATTGGGTGTGTATTTAAAAAGAGTGTGTGTTGGTGAGTGCTTGTGCGTGTTTCTATCCGCATGTGCTCTTGTGGTTGTGTCAGTTTGTTGCCATGAGCTCCTGTAAGAGGACCTAACAGGATTAATGGTTTAATCTGTGTGTATGTGTGTGTCTGTGTGTTATTCTGTTGGGTTTCTGGCTGAGCCAGACCTGAGCTGAAGGCTACTGCTTCTGCTGAGTGCTTTGCTGTCCAGCAGTAGATTGTGTGTGTGGCTGTGGATCTCTGGGAGCCTCAGGCTCACCCAGTGTCACTCGACCATGGAAAGTTCTAATGGTATTGATGACATCCCTTACAGCAATGTTTCACTTTGTTGTTTTCACCTTTCAGAATCCCTTTACAGATTCATTGACACCATTGAAACTGTTCAGTTTGCCTTCGTGCACATGTATTGGAATTGTGATTTTTAGACTTGACTGATGGAATAATTAAGTGTATGTGTGAAACATGTTAACTGAATAATGATTCACGAAGTGGTCTCTTTTGGTAGTTGGCCAGAGAAGCTGTTAGCTCCTATTGTGTCGGTTCCACCAACAAATTCATTGTTTTATAGAGATGTAACAATCCAATATGTATACTGTTTTCAGTGCTGCAGCAATCCCTACCTTAATGTTACCTTGTATAGAAATAATTGCAGTTGCCAATTTTGAATTTAGGAAAAATAGAGTGTTGGTATTGGATTGATATTTGGTATGAGCACTTTCTCAGAGTTGAGATTTCAGAATTGACTGACCCAAAGTGCTGTCAGCTTCAAAAAGGCAAGGACTACAGTATGAGATGAATGGATATATTCATGATGAGATGCTAGACATCATGTTTATCGTAATAGAGAACACCAAAAGTTCCATTGTGGTGGCACATGGCCTTAAGAGATAATATCAACAGAGGGATGTTAGCCTTGATCTTTTCTGGGTCATTCTAATAATATGTCAGCCGCCAACCTGCCTGTCCTTTTCCAAATCTCTTGAATGTGACCACAGAAATAAGGAGGAAGCAAATCTGGCTGTTTTAAGTCATCTGATATTAGGCTAACTTCTCTTGATGTAGCTAAATATTAGCTAGTTGTCGGAGTTTCACCGACAGTATCTATTTGTCTGTAAAGACTGTGACACTCCCTCAGTCACATTTTTAACCATCATAAAAAATTTGGTTTTCTTTTCATCATAGTTAGATCTAGCACATAGCATATCTGAGTATAACAGGAAAGGGTAAAGTTGAATGAGGTTTTGACGGGCACCACTTTTGCTCAACTATGATTTGAGCTCAGAGAAAAGGGCTTATGAGAGGGCCAGTTGGTATCAAAAGAGGAAAAGTTGAGTATGTGTTCTCTGTAAGTTCAGTAAGGTCTGCTGTTGGTGTCAAGCAGAGCCTGTCATTGGCTGTTAGTACCTTTAGGCTGTCCTGTCATAGTCTCTATCTGTCTAACGACGACGGCAGCGGTTGGTGCCTGGTCGGCTGTTGCAGTCTGTTTACTTGGTAAGAGAGACATAGGGAGAGACGTGGCGAAGAGCTCAGGGCGTGTAGTTGGTGGAGTTGCCATGATGCTGTCTCTGGTGGCAGCGCAGGGATGGAGGGAGATCTCCCCAGGGTAAAGTTGGGTTTTTGAGTCCATACTTAAGTTGCTGTTATGATTAAATGATAATGGGATGTCTTTTTATACTTCTGTCATGTGCTTTGCAGGGCATGAAAGCACCGTTTGTTATTATCTAGATGCAGTATTTTTATTTTACCTACTATTTTTAGACTATCACATTTCTTTTATAGTGTTAGGGAAAAGATAATAGGAGGAAAGTTTGAGAAGAAACAGGTGTAGATGGTCAACAAAGCATTGAGTTGCGCCTTTGACACAACCATCCCTCATACCTGAGACACTGACAGCTCTACACTATACCTGCAGCATAGGAGAACTCTCTGCCTGCCTAGAAGCAGGTTACAAACCTAACAGCCACATATGAATGGGGCTGCTGACCCACTGGTTTTGTGTCACCCACCGCTTCTTTAGGTAGCTCCTTAAAAAACTCGACTATATTAAAACTCGTGGGAGAAAGTGGCAACAGATGCTCACCAGGGTGATCTTTGGCTTCATGCCTGGTTGTTTGGCCTTGGCTGCCACCTCAAGTGTACTTAAGCTTCAATCGTTTGTAATTCTCAGCCACTGCAGTTTGTCAGTGCGACAATTCGTTGAGTCACACGACTGTAAATTGTTGCTGCTGGTGTTACTGATTGATCTGCAGATTATTTTCTTGATTATGATTTGTTCTATAACGTCAAAATTGGTAAAAGGGGCCCGTCATAGTTATCGAAAGCCCAAAGTTTCCTCTTCATGTTACATGCTTTGACTACCTACAGTGCAAAACAAAAGACATTAAATTTTAGAGCTAAAATGATTGGTCAATTAGTTGATCAACAGCAAAGGTATCTGCAGCTAATTTGATGAGGTAATCCTCTCATTTTGCAGATTAATTTCTGTCAACCAACAAATGGTTTCAGATTCTAGTTTCCTATGTTTGTGAGTACTCCATAAAGGCACTAAACAGAATTAACTCTCATTTGCAAAGCACATTTGAATCTTTCAGTAAGATAAACAAATAATGTTGGAGTCTGTTATTTCCCTATCTTGTGCCTGCCTTCTGAACTCATGTTTGGCTCTCAACAAGTAACACTGATCAGCCCGAGGCTCGCAGGCAACTCTATTTTTGGCGAGAAAACCTACCAAAAAGGGGAGCAGAAGGTGAGCCTGAGCTGGTGTTTTTATCTGAACACTCACACAAGAGCCTACCAAGATTTCAAGCTGCGAGTACAGGATTCAAACTCTCACCATACACTAAAACACACAAACATAGACACACACATACACACAGATTCACTTTTACTCGCCCTTGCCCCACATCTCTTTTAGACCAGCTCTTGGCGTTTGCTCTGAAGGGTTTGAGGCAGCTGTTGCTGAGAGAATGGGGGGAGGAAGGGAGGCAGAGAGGGAGGGCAAAGGATTGAGGGAGGAAGCTGACAGAGATCTCTCGCAGTAGGCGAGTCACAGCGCTGTGCCTATCACTGCCTCTCCCTGATTCATGATGACAGAGACAGAGAGAGATTGAACAAACAAGAGTGGAAAGGAGATAGAGGAGAAAACAAAGGAGAGAACAGAAGGAGAGGAGCAAATACAGACAAAGGCAACAGGAAGTTTCTATCCATAACGCACTGTAACCATGGCAGTTGGGGATGATGGCGATGGTAAGTGTGTGTCTGTGTGTTTAATCTCATCTGGCTGTGGATGCTGGCACTCTGACAAAGGCTTGTCAGCATATGGTTTTAGATTGAAATCAGCTTAAACATGAAGCACTTTCACCCCAAGTGCTCTGGCTGGGATGTAGGCTGCATCTGCATGAGTGCATGCACGAGAGGGAAAACTGGGGTGTCCTGAAATGTCTCCATCATGACGTACTGTGTTTGTGCGTGTGTCTGAATACACAGCACTGGTGCAAGAGCATGTGTGTATCCTAGCAATTCATTATTTTTTGTTTTATTTTTGAAAATAATATGAGAGAGAAATGGGACATATTTGACAGAGGAGCTGGATACAGTTTCAACTTGCAGCCAGAGGCCTGACTTGAACCCAAGATATTAGTTACATGGAGCAGTCTGCACCTCAGCTACCCAAGAAACCAAATGCTTAGAGTGGATATTGTCTTGGGATCCATGAGCAATTTCTCCATTTGATTTTAAAAATTAAAGAAAACCTTGAAAATGAAAGCAAAGCAAATAATACTGTAAGTTTACTGAGTAGTAGCCACTCATTCTCTGCCTCTTTTTCTCCCACTTTATCTCATTCTGTCGCAGTAATATGAGGTCAAGTGTGTGCTGTTCTGTCTGCTTGTAACTCTCACTGTCGGGGCCAAAAATCTGTCAAGTGTGATTTAACATTTTCATTGGTTGTACCGGTGCGCTTGATGTTTAACAGGTGTGTCTCTGTATGTGTACTCTGCCTCTGATTGGCTCTGACCTTGATATTCTTTTAGCTGAATGTGGGTGGGGGGAATTAAAGGTGTGTGTATGTGTGAAACATGGCCCTGTATTCCTCGCCGAGCCATATCACAACCTTATAACATAACAATAATTCAAAATGGAAGAGTAAGTCTGGAGGGAGCCCAGCGCTGTCTAGGATTTCTTTTGAGAAACGAGCCAGTGCACAGATGATTTATGATTGTTAATTATGAACACACAATCCTCATTAAGATAATGCCCATTATAGCGCACTCTGCTTGTCTTGACTCCAGCTTTGTGGGTTTCCTCCCACATTAGACCAAAATATCCATCCGAGGATGAGAGCAGGAAAAAGGCGTTTGTTTGGATGCATGTTAAATTTAGATTAAACATTATTAACACGGCTGAGAGAATTCTGTTTCTCTCCTCTCTTTTCACATTGTGCCCCTTAATGTCATCTAATATGGCAGTGCAGTCATATACAGACCAAATTATCTAACTTTGGTGCTTGCTTTACTTTCTGTCATGCAGAACATTAAGCCCGTCCCTTACAGAATTACAATACACCGCTATATGTCACACATCAAAAATACAAGAACACATTTTGAGGTAACATAGGGGGAAAAAAGGAAATATTATAACATTATGTATCCTAAAATACTAAACGTTAAATAACTTAAAGAGCTTTTTTCTAATCTGCTAAAGTACTTGACAATCTTAAATGTTTCATATGTATATACCAACTCAGTCTCTGAGCATTGTCAGTTCCTTATCTTACTAAACTATGTTTTTCTTGGTTCCTGATTAAAAATAGGGCAGTAGCAAAGCAAGACGATGAGATGCCATATTGAACAAATTATTTATTTCGGACTGACATACCAAC